AGAAGGAGGAGGAGGATGGGAATGATGGTCCCACGGAGACCCTGGAGGAGCTGGTCCTGGGACTAGCCGCTGAGGTGTGTGATGATTTTCTCTTCTACTGTGGAGACACACATGGCAGCTTCGTGGTCAGAACTCTGCTGCAGGTGTTAGGAGGGACTGTTCTGGAGTCTGAGAGAGCCAGGCCCCGTGGTTCCCAATCATCTGGTAAGTATTACAAGAGGAAAATGGACCTAGTGGGAAGAAGAATTTAGAAAGCTCAGAAGGAGACAGTAAATAGAAGAGTAAGTCTTCGTGGGGGAGCTTGACCTGGAAGAATTAGCTTGACCTGTCCTAATCTGAACAGGGCTTAGCAGGCCAAAGATTAGTCTGTGCAGAGGCCCAGAGGTAAGGATGTACAATTGTGTTTAGGGGACAGCTGTTAGAATGGATGCAGAAGGAGAATTTTTTTTTTTTTTTTGAGATGGAGTTTTGCTCTTGTTGCCCAGGCTTGGCTCACCACAACCTCTGCCTCCTGGGTTCAAGTGATTCTCCTGCCCCAGCCTCCCGAGTAGCAGGGATTACAGGCACTCGCCACCACGCCCAGCTAATTTTGTATTTTTAGTAGAGATGGAGTTTTTCCATGTTGATCAGGCTGGTCTCAAACTCCCGCCTTGGCCTCCTAAAGTGCTGGATTACTGGTGTGAGTCACGGCGCCTGGCCAATTTTTTTTTTTTTTTTAAAGCATGACTTAACATACAAATGTGTGTATACTGGACTCAATCAGAAGTTCAGAAAACAGTACCCTTACTACATACAGCCCACTCTGTTATTTCCTTTTCTTTTCCAAACTTTATTCTGCTCTAGTTCATTAAAAAAAGAATGCTAGTCAAGATTACTAACTTGATTTCATGATACAGTCTTGGGTTGTCATCTACATTTGGAAAAACTCTACGAAACAAAGTTAGAGAGTTTAAATGAGACTTGATTTTGGAATGCCTTGTATACCTGGCTGAGGAGGTTGAACTGTCTTCTGTGGACCATGGGGAAGCTGGCTGAAGCTTTTGGAAAAATTAAGACAAAAATGTAGTCTCAGTTCAGTCATCCAGAAGAGACATTCAGCTGTACTTCAAATGTTCTGCATATCCAAGCAGAATCCTTGTTCATCTATGGAATTGTTCTCTCTTGGGTGGCAGTTTGTGATCTCCCTGCTGCACATGTTCTTAATCTTCCTTCAGAAGCACAGAGGGCCCCAGCCCGGGAATGTAAGCCAGCTGATTTTGAAGTCCCTGAAACCTTCTTGAATCGCCTTCAGGACCTGAGCTCCTGCTTTCTGAAGGACATTGCAGGTAAGGAGGGAAGTAGGAGGGTCTCATACCTACTTTTCTGAAAGTGATTGTTACCAAGCAAGGCCCTTGGGTCAGGTTATTCCTCTTCTTTTCAAACCTGGGCTGGTTTGACGTTGAAAGCACTTTGTATAGTCCCTTTGTGTACGTAGTGCCCTGTATCTTTTTGCCTAAAGTTTGAGGTTATGCAGGTTGTCTGGATTTTGGGAAAGCTGCTTTATTTTTGCCCTCTCTCCACAGTATTTATCACTGATAAGATCTCCAGCTTCTGTCTTCAAGTGGCCTTACAGGTTTTACACTGCAAACTACCCCAGTTTTGTGCCCATCTCTGCAATGCTGTGATTAGTTACCTGAGTACTTGCAGTTCCTCAGTAGATGGCAGGTATGGTCGGGTCTTAGGATTGACCAAAGTTGGTGGGGCTGTGTGAAATGAATGAGATGATGTAGTGCAACTGGATTTTACATGAAATGGAGTTAAGACTGCCTGATGCTCCTCTTGTCCCTAGTCCCCTACTGCTATTTCTCCGAGATCAGACGAGCTCCAGACTCCTGGAACAGGTCCTGCTGGTGTTGGAGCCTCCAAGGCTCCAGAGCCTCTTTGAGGAGCACTTGCAGGGGCAGCTGCAGACCCTGGCTGCACATCCCATTGCCAACTTCCCTTTGCAGCGCTTACTGGATGCAGTCACCACCCCTGAACTGGTGAGTTGGAAACCTGGGCTGGATCTGTTTCTGCTAATTCTTGATCATTGAACCTTATTTTATGGTGTGCCTGCCTCTATGTATTTTTGACGTTGTGCTGGCCATTCCTCTTGAAAAATTATTCCTTGAGGTTTTCCAGAGCTTAGGATAAAGGTGCCTACCTTCTATTGAGAATTTGTTTTGGCTTCTCTCACGTATGAGGACCAGCAAGAGACTGGCTTCATTCAAGTTTATAGCTAGAGGTTCCATGGCCCACCCAGACTCTGGTACTTGGCTATAAGTCCACATGAGTGCTAGAGCTGTTGCCATAGCTTCTCTTTTCCCTTGCTGCATAGGACCAAGGTGGGCTTCCCTGTGGTCTCATGCATTGGGGGTTAGAGTGGAAGGGCAGGTTTAATTTTAGTCCCCCGTTGCCCCTAGTTCTCCCTTATACATAGGGAAGAGCCACTCAAAGTTCCTTCCTGTGAGGTGGCACCTCTAAGACTGCCCCTTGTCCTGGGTCTTATCTATCCAAACAAAAGTCCTGATACTGGCATTGCTTTTTATGTAGCATTTTTAGTTGTTTTCAGTGGGAAGATTTCTCTGAATAATGTAGTCTACCATTACCAGAATGCCACAGTCACATCCCATGTTTCCCATCAGCTGTCCCCTGTGTTTGAGGAGCTGAGCCCTGTCCTAGAAGCTGTATTGGCTCAGGGCCACCCAGGGGTAGTCATTGCCCTGGTGGGGGCCTGTCGCAGAGTTGGGGCCTACCAAGCCAAGGTCCTAGAGCTGTTGTTGGAGGTAAGTAGATATTACTCATAATCTGTTTATGCCATCAGTCCAACTCTTACCAGTTAGGATTTATCTAATCTTAAGTTGTTGTACCTTTGGACTCAGGAAGTCTAATGCCCAAGGAGCTTACAGGAATGGGGGAAAAGATGCCAAATGATTTTTGTTGTTATTGAGACAGAGTCTCGCTCTGTCACCCAAGCTGGAGTTCAGTGGTGCCAGATTGGCTCACTGCAACCTCTGCCTCCCTAGTTCAAGTGATTCTCTTGTCTCAGCCTTCCAAGTAGCTGGATTATAGGTGCCTGCCACCACACCCAGGTAATTTTTGTTTTTGTGGGTTTTTTTGGTATTTTTAGTAGAGATGGGGTTTCACCATTTTGGCCAGCCTGATCTCGAACTCCTGACCTCCAGACGATCCATTACCAAACGGGATCATCCCGCCTCAGCCTCCCAAAGTGCTGGGATTATAGGAATGAGCCACTGTGCCTGGCTGAGGTCAAATGTTATTTCACAGTCCTAGAATAATAATTGTCTCCCAGAGCTAAGACAGAAGTTTATTTAAGGGATAAATGTTTATTAACCTCTGTATGTGATAGAGTCTGGGGATGCAGCAAGGCATGAAATTCTGCTGTCATGGAGCTCACATTCTTATGGAGTTAGGCCTTCTTTCCTTTCCTGAAGGTGTTCCCTTGAGTTTGAGGTTAGGGATGGAGAAGTTCCCACGTTCATCATATTTTGTCTTCTCCTTTAGGCATTCCACTGTGCAGAGCCCTCATCCCGGCAATTGGCTTGTGTGCCTCTCTTTGCCACTTTGATGGCTTATGAGGTGTACTATGGACTGACGGAGGAGGAGGGGGCAGTGCCCGCGGAGCACCAGGTGAGATAGGGAAGAGGCTAAGCTGGTGACTGATTGGGAGCCAGGCCTCCCAGGGTTTAGCAAGCCTCTGACTCCTGAGGTGAGTGTGGTGATTTCATCCAGGTGGAGGTGGCAATGTCCTGGGGATGGGCTCATCCACCTGGCTTGTTGGTGCCTCCTAATTTCCTATCTCTGTGTTCTCAGGTAGAAACAGCCTCAGCCAGGGCCTTGGGGGAAGTGACAGTTCTTGGATCTCTACTGCTGCAGCATCTGCTGCACTTCTCTACTCCTGGTCTTGTACTTCGAAGTCTGGGTGCCTTGACGGGACTACAACTTCTGGCTCTGGCCCAAAGTCCTGCTGGCTCTCATGTGCTCGATGCCATCCTGACCAGCCCCTCTGTGACGCGCAAGCAGCGCCGCCGTGTGCTGCAGAACCTAAAGGTTAGATTTCTGGCTTCTGCCTTGATTCCCCACCATCATCCATTTAGAGAATATGACCTTCTCCAGTACTATACCTTCAGATGCAAAGAGGCTATATAGTTCCTAGACTATTTTAACTCAGCCCCTAAACTCTTCAGAAAATTCACTCCTTGCAGGCCCCCAAAATACACTTTTGTGGACTTTGCTAGGGGAGCCTTCTTTGTTGGTCTTAATACAGGGACAATATGTGGCCCTGGCCTGTAGTCGCCATGGCAGCCGTGTGCTAGATGCCATCTGGAGTGGAGCAGCCTTGGGGGCCCGGAAGGAAATTGCTGCTGAGTTGGGTGAGTACCAGCCCCTCTCTTCGATGTTTCCAGACTTTCCCTTCTTTTACTCCAGATCTCTGGGTGGCGGGGGAGTCTACTGAAATTCAACAGTCCTCAGTTCCAAAGAGTGGTTTTGCTCATGGGTTCTTAGCAGTCTACTTTCCCTTTCCCTTCTGCTGACTGATTGTGCAGTTCTCTGCCCTCACCCTGCTCTCTGACTTCTGTTCTTTGGAAAGTGAGGTGTTCACTTTATCCCAGTGGCAGTCCCAGGGTCTGCGGGAAATGGAGGGATCTTTACCTCAGGTAGAGTCTGTCTTTGAGCACGGATGGTACTAAACATGAGTGATTCCCTTTACAGGGGAGAAGAACCAGGAGCTGATAAGAGACGCTTTTGGCCACCATGTGGCTCGAAATGTGGCCTTGACTACTTTCCTAAAGCGGCGAGAGGCTTGGGAACAGCAGCAGGGTGCGGTGGCCAAGCGGAGGCGGGCATTGAACTCTATACTTGAAGACTGAGGCTTTGGATCTGGGACTGGGTGTTGATGGGGGAGGGCAAAAGGGAGTATCCATCCCATCCCTTTCCTGTTTAAGTTGGAGTCAAAAGTCTTAGTAGTAAATATTTTATATTTTTATTTGAAATGTTTTTGTTATTTTTGGGGGAAGGGTATGAAGACATCTCAGGGTAAAGTCAGAGAGGGCTGTCATGAGTATGCTGGGGAGTTTAAGGACAGGAGGCTTTGGTGTAAAGCTCAGATTAGATGTAAAGCTCAGATCAAGATGCCTGGGGATAGGTTTGTGACCTTTCAGGGCAAGTGGGAGGCAGAAAGGTGGCTAGGAAGGGACAGCATTCTTCAGGTAAGGGTATAGACTTGGGATGTGAGGCATTATGCTGAAAGGTTCTGTCACAAGGGGGTCAGAAGACAGTGGGGAAATTGGGTAAGTTATCTAGCCTGTACTGTCTTCAGGTCCTGAAACTTGATGCTGTCACAGTGTTTGCAGTGTGTCTCTTGGAATGGGTCTGGGGACAGAAGCTTAGAGGCCCTTCTTAGTAGGAATGGAGGCGGCCCTTCTGCTGCCACTTCTCAGCCCCTTCTACTACATGGCGAAGGGTGGAGGAAATTCCCAGCAACATATGGCCCAGGCCTTGCAGCAGTGTGGAGGTCCAACGAAGGAGCTCCCTGAAGGGCGGAGATAAGAGGAAATCAGATGATTCGGGAAACCTGGGAGGAGGCTATCAAGCTGGGAGATGAGGAGTTTCCACAAGCGAGAGCTAACTAGGGTTAGGTGGGTGCAGGAGGAGGAATGATGGGGACTATCCGACTGTAGGGGATGGGGAAGTATGACATGTTGATTTCTGACCTGAGTACTTTCTTTGGGCCAAGTCCTTGAAAGTCACAGCTCATAGAGTAGAGCCCGTAGAATGTGGCTTTGACGTTCAGGCTGCCAAAGAGGTCTCGAGGGTTTTGCTTGTATACGTCAAAGGTGATGCGGGCGATGTCCTTGCTGTGCTTGGGCCTCTCCCGGCCCAGGCCATATGACAGCACTCCACTCTGTAGGACATGCCCATCAGTGCAGTAGATCCTCACACCAGACACCCACCACTAATCCCCATCAGCAGTGGGTCAGACCCTCCCTGGCCTGGACTTGTCCATTGTGTGACATTCTTGACAATTCCGCAACTCCCCCTGCACCTCTGTCCCCAGAATCAGTATTAGGCTAGACAAATGGGAGAGCTATAAAGGATGGGCAGTGGAAGCAGCCCCAGTATAGGCCTCACCCTGATGGGACTCCAGCTCTGACCAGACTCCAGCACCATCAGGCACGTGTCATCCTCCAGCAGCTGGAAGAAGTCCTCACTGTCCACTACAGTTCCATCCTCCTCTAGCACCAGGGTTAGCACTCCATTCAGCAGTAGGGTCTCCAATGCCTGCCCAATGGCAAGAAGCAGAAAGGAAGGGCAGGTCTTACCCCATGCCCCTTCCCTCATTAGCTGCCCAACATCCATCAGTTGGGCCTAGACATTGGTTGATGTCCCACCTCGACTTCCTGGGACTTTGCCATCCCTCCTAAAGGCTACTGCTCTCAGTGTTCTTCAGTTGTTGGAGGATCCTAGCTAGAGGCTGACCTTGTTCCTCTTTGCTCCTACCATGTCACTAGCATCTCCCCTTGCTCCCCTCCAAGTCACTCCTGTTTTGGAATTGGAAAGCAAGCCAGGTTCTCATGAAGTCCACCCTTCTGTCCTACAGTGCGGCACCTCACTTTCCCACACCCTCAGAGCTCTCCAGAAGTGTGTTCAGTAATAGTGTTTAACCTTTTTGAGTCCTTACTCTGTGCCAGGTATGAGGATTTTACCTACATTATCCTCTGACTCAACAACCCTACGAGGTGGTGTATTATTGCCTTTTTATAGATAAAGAAACTGAGGTTTTGATAAGTTGAACAACTTGACAAACTCACTGTGGAGTGGGGAACAGGAGAGGAAGGGAACTGCTGAATCCCCTAGGGGCTGAATGGAGTTTTGTTGCCCTGCCCATATCCCCTAAAGGTGGAGGGTACAGCGGAGGTTTTGACAGAAAGTGGCAGAATTTGAACTTGATTTGTCATACAAATTGCCTTTCCATACTGGCTTCTGAATTCCATCCCTCCAGCTCTCCCTAGCCACTACTTCCCCTGCTCCCACAGACAACCTCACTGTGGAAAATGAACAAATTGACTGGAGGTCATTAGGCACACCCCACTGCTTTTAGCCCTCAGAAAGAGGGGCAGCTGTGTGACCTCAGCCGTCTCTGCTCCATCATCCCAAGTTATCACTGTTCTCGAGCCCCTTGGCTGCCCCTGCTATAGGAACCGAGGAACTTGGCCTACTTACTTTGGCTAGCAGTTCCTGATGGGTGGCAGCTGTCAGGCCTTTCCGTATGGTCCGCTTGTGATCACAGACACGGAAAGGTCGCTGGGGTGGCAGAGCTGAGGTCCAGACCCTCCGTCCAAACTCTGAGCTTATACTAGATACTGACCTGGTAGTTGGGAAGAAAAGTCAAGAAGAAGCAAGAAGGGGCTTGATGAGTGTAAAGGGCATGATGGGGGTGGCTAGGGGGCTGGTGAGGGAGGAATGGTTTGCAGATTAGGGATGGGGTATAGACCGTGGAGTGCAGGTGGGCCGTGGGTGGCTCAGGAGCTTGATAAGCTCACTGTGGTGTGGGGAGCAGGAGAGGCAGGGTACTGCTGAGTCTCCTAGGGGCTGAATGGAGTTTTGTTGCCCTGCCCATATCCCCTAAAGGTGGGGGGTACAGCGGAGGGTTAGCAGTCACCTGAGCAGGTCACTGGGGTTCAGAGCTGAGAGATACTCCATGGTGGATGGGAGAGTTCCTTCTTCCCTGGAACTTCTGGGCTGAGTGGTTCTCTGCTATGCTGGGGCTTCAGTGGTGTTTTCTGTTACAAACCTGAGATCTCAGCCCAGGATGAGGTGGGAATGAGTCAAGCCTGGACTCTGGCCCCCCTGCCTGACCAGTAAGAAGGGCAAAGTCCAAGGGGAGGGATGAAGGAGGGGCCAGATGTGGTCCTGGAGGAAGAATTGCCCGGCAAAAGCCACCGGAGCTTGTTTGTATGTCTTTGGTGATGGCATGTGTTGTGAGGGTAGATGGGAACCATGTAAAAGGATGAAATGTGACCTCTGGTGTTTCTGTATTTCTATGGAGGGAATTTCTAGGGACAGTTTCTGGCTCTCAGGCTCTGAGAAGCTGCGTTTTGTGAGCGGCTCGGTGTATGCTGCCACCTACTGGAGAAGCCGTAAGCTGCAGCATTAGGAAAAGGGAACCCCTGCGGAGTGTGGGGAAGCGGGATGGCAGCATGGCAGGGCTTTGGAAAATGAGAGGTGAAACTGTGTCCAGGAAGGGTGTGAGGAGAGGATGGATCCTGATCCATGGGTTCAGGATCATTAGGGTCCTGTCTGGGACGCTGGCCTTCCTACTTACCTGCTCCTTCCTCCTTGGTCAAGGGACAGGCTGGCCCATTGCTCTGGCTTCATTTTCCAGAACTGCCTGCTTCGGCCACACTTAAGTCATCTCTCTCAGTTTTCCCCTTTTGCCAATTAATGGACATGAAGGAGATGTGAATGGGACAGGGATGTCCTTTGACAGGATCAAGACTTTAGCTTTTGGTACACTGTGTCCTAGCTCTGATTTCAGTTGCAGCTGTGATGGACAGTTGCATGGAAGCTGAGACTCTCACTGACAGTGGAACCCTCAAATGAACACAATCCCTGCTTTCCTGCCCAGGATCCTTGTAGGGTCCCCAGCTTCCCCACTATTTTTCTGTGTCCTGACAAAGAAACACAGAGTAACTTGATGGCTCTGTCACCTGGCCAGCTGCATTTCCCCTGGAGGCCTGAGCCCAAGCCAGAGCCTTGAACATTACCAGGCACTGAAAAGGTATTCAGGTTGTTGCCCAAAACACCGAAAGAAACTGGCCCTGGCACTGAGCCAAAGTCCTTGAACCCTCATAAACTCCATACCCTGACCCCCTTGTTTTGAACATACTTTGGTAGAACAACTCTTTCTTTCACTGTCTGTTGTGAGGATATGCTGCAGCCCACTCATTAAGTTCTCCTAATAAATGCTTTGGACTGATCACCCTGCCAGTCTTTTTGTCTTGGGCAATCTGTACTTTTCTCAGAGGTTCCCAAGGCCTAATGAAGGGACTTCACACACTCTTAATGGCTTTCCTCTCTCTTGTCTTACCCTATGCCCTCACTTCCTGAGTTAGCCTCCCAAGTACAGGATTACCTGTACCCAAGCCCTTAGTTCAAGCTCTTCTTTGGGAGAACCCAAACTAAGACAATATTCCTGGTGCCCTGCCCAAGGAACGTCAAGTTCTGGCTGTTACTTGGGCAGAGTGTATGGCACATTGGGAGCCAGATGTAAGGCTGAGTGCCCTACAGGGTCGTGGGGTGAGCCTTATGCTGTGCTGAGGTGCAGGATCCGAGAAATAAAGAGACAGGACACAGAAGTACAAAGAAAATGCAGCTGGGCTTGGGGAGCCACACCACCTATAAGCAGAGTCAGGCAAGGCCGGCGAGGCCGGTGAGGCCAGGCTGGCGAGGGTGGTGAGCGAGCCCCAAATGTCCAGAAGCATGAGTATGTATTGTGTATAGGTTAGGGGGCAGGGCAGTGAGTGAAATCATCTTGAAGGATAGTGATAGGGTCGTGAGCACTAAAACATAGGGTCTACCCCCATTAGGTCACCTAGGCCAGGAGGTGGACAGCGCGCAGCAAGGGACCCGTTCCCACGAAGGCAAGGGCCCCGTTACCACGAAAGGAAGGGCCGTGTGCAGTAAGGGGTCCACCCCCATTAGGTCACCGAGGCTTGAAGGTGGTCCGTGCAAAACGAAGAGGGTGAAGTGTGCAATACTTCTATCTATGGGAAAACTACTTCTAAGAAGATTTATAGGAGGATGCTTTAAGTTACATAGTAGTGACAGAGCTGTCAAGGTTATTGCCACCTTCTGGTAGCTTCCAATGGATTCTATGGGAAGATGCTTTTCAAGCAGCCCAGTAGCAAGAGCTGATAAAGTTCACAGTCACCAAGGTGGATTGCAGTTCTGAGGGCAGCCTTCCACAAGAACTGGAGCAAGGTCCTACAACTCCTTTATCAGGAGGAGTGGCTCTCGCTCTAAGCCTGCCATACAGCGGGTATCTTTACTATACTGAACTCTGCCCCTGGGCCATGGATTCTTGTCCTGGTATAACTGTTTTTCCCTTAATTCATGCTCTGCACTGTGTCTGCTCTAGGCATTCCTCCGATTATGAACTAAGATATAATTATAGGTATATATGTAGGGAAATATTCTTCAGGCACTCATGGCACTCATACTATCAACTATTATATGATTATATATAGCGGATTATATAAAGGGAGACTTCAAGCCCTATTTCTATAAACTAATATATGATTATGTAAAGGATTATATAAAAGGAAATAGCTGAGTAGTAACACTATAAAGTGAGATATTCCTCAAGCCCTAACTGTGCCAGGGTTCTGCTTAGCTCTCATTCCTCAGTGCCTAGATGGGGGGGTTACCCACACAGAGGCCTTTCTTTTCCCTTACCCCAACTCTATCGATCTGCCAGGCCCCCCTCAGATCTCTTCATTTCCAAGTTTTGCTTGACTTTTCCAAGAAGAGAGGGCTGCTTCTTAGTATGTCTCTACTACTGCATCTCTTTCTTTCTTGTCTTGTATCCTGGTGCAGCCTGGTAGTGGGGTCTCTTCATGGTTGTGTGTCATGACTCCCTAATCAGGTTATAAGCCCCTTATATCTCCATGCATCCCCTGTTCCTCCTGGAATCTGGTACCATACCTTACATGGAAAAGCTGTCATTGACAGCCTGGTGAGATCCCTGAGGGTGGAGTGACTGGGGCAGGGCCCAAGGCAAGAGATGGGAGGAGGTAGGCCAGGAGTTTAAGAAAAGGGGCTCAGCTGGACCAGGAAGCTGGAAACAGGCAAAGATAGAGAAGCTGAGGGGCTGAGTTGTTTGGCTCACCTCTATAGGCCAGAGAGGCCAGGTAACATACACACTGTAGAAAGTGGACTGGGGGGATTGGGGCCAGAGCTGGAGGAGGGATGAGAAGAGAAGCAGGACCAGGGTCAGGATTCAGCAGAGTTCTCCTATTCTCTTCCACAGCCAGGTAATCTTATCTGTCCCCCTTCAGCTTATGCTGTTTCCTGGCAAGGCAGGCTCTCACATGCCTGGACGCCTGGTTGCATTGGTGATGGGAAGGAGTGGGGTGAGGGAGGGGCCCCAGGAGAGGCCCCGGATGAGCTTCATCTTGTCCCTCCCCATTCTTGCCTTGCCCTCTGCAAATGTGACAGGCACAGGACAGGAGTAGGCACCTCGCCCACTACTGCTTAACCTTTCAGCTTCCCAGGGCCCCAATCTTGCTTGCTCCCAGCTTGGTAAGTAGATCTGCCCACCTTTACACCCCACCATACACTTTTGTCCAGAGATACTAGGATTGGGGCTGGAAAGAAGGAGAGGCCAGGCTAGAGGAGTGGTGGTAGAGACAGTGACAGCCTGGGGTGAGGACTTGATGCCTGTTTACCACTGAGCACTGGGAAGGAGCCGGGAGTCGGGCAGGTCAACTGACTGGGAGCAGGGGATCTGGGTTCCAAGAAGGGGTAGTGTTTCAGGTGGGGTTTGGGTAATCTTGGAAGTCAGGACTCACAGGCAGAAAAGAGGCGGGCTGCAGGGAAGTCAGGAGGAGGCATGGCCCCTTCTCATCAGGCATCACAGGTGGGGTTTTGCCCCACCCCTGAACGCCCTCTGTGGCCCCTTCCACCCTTCTGTAGGCCCAGAAGGATGTCTGTCTGCTACCGTCCCCCAGGGAATGAGACACTGCTGAGCTGGAAGGCTTCGCGGGCCACAGGCACAGCCTTCTTGCTGCTGGCGGCGCTGCTGGGGCTGCCCGGCAACGGCTTCGTGGTGTGGAGCTTGGCTGGCTGGCGCCCAGCACGGGGGCGACCGCTGGCGGCCACGCTTGTGCTGCACCTGGCACTGGCAGACGGCGCGGTGCTGCTGCTCACGCCGCTCTTCGTGGCCTTCCTGACCGGGCAGGCCTGGCCGCTGGGCCAGGCGGGCTGCAAGGCGGTGTACTACGTGTGCGCGCTCAGCATGTACGCCAGCGTGCTGCTCACCGGCCTGCTCAGCCTGCAGCGCTGCCTCGCTGTCACCCGCCCCTTCCTGGCGCCCAGGCTGCGCAGCCCGGCCCTGGCCCGCCGCCTGCTGCTGGCCGTCTGGCTGGCCGCCCTGTTGCTCGCCGTCCCAGCCGCCGTCTACCGCCACCTGTGGAGGGACCGCGTGTGCCAGCTGTGCCACCCGTCGCCGGCCCACGCCGCCGCCCACCTGAGCCTGGAGACTCTGACCGCCTTCGTGCTTCCTTTCGGGCTGATGCTCGGCTGCTACAGCGTGACGCTGGCTCGGCTGCGGGGCGCCCGCTGGGGCTCCGGGCGGCACGGGGCGCGGGTGGGCCGGCTGGTAAGCACCATCGTGCTTGCCTTCGGCTTGCTCTGGGCCCCCTACCACGCGGTCAACCTCCTGCAGGCGGTCGCCGCGCTGGCTCCACCCGAAGGGGCCTTGGCGAAGCTGGGCGGGGCCGGCCAGGCTGCGCGAGCGGGAACTACGGCCTTGGCCTTCTTCAGCTCCAGCGTCAACCCGGTGCTCTACGTCTTCACCGCTGGGGATCTGCTGCCCCGGGCAGGTCCCCGTTTCCTTACGCGGCTCTTCGAAGGCTCCGGGGAGGCCCGAGGGGGCGGCCGCTCTAGGGAGGGGACCATGGAACTCCGAACTACTCCTCAGCTAAAAGTGGTGGGGCAGGGCCGAGGCAATGGAGACCCCGGGGGTGGGATGGAGAAGGACAGTCTGGAATGGGACCCTTGACCCCAAACCCTACAACCTGCTGCCCTTGCCTGTCCCTTTCCATCCCCCCACCCTCCGGAGCTCAGTGTTCTGGAACGTTTGGGGACCCTTTGACTGGAGTTTGGATCTGGCTGGGTAGGATTACTATACACCTGGGGCAGGCTCAGTTTCCTCCAAACTGAGGGATTATGAGTGTGGTGATGGTCTCTGTTAAGGACTATTTCGTGCTTGCAGTTTGGCATGTACCCATGTGCCAGCACTGCTTACTTGTTGCCAATAGCTGTTATTGTGAAATACACTGGGAAGCCATTAGGTGGTGACTTAAGTGTGCTCCCCCTTATCCCCCACACCGACCCGTGGTTCTTCATGCCTGAGTTGTACTGAAGCCACCTAGTTCCCTGCGGGTCAAGCCAGGGTTGGGCAGTGCTGGCCTTCGGTGGCATCTTGTCCTTCCCTCCACAGCCCAGATGCCCTGGTTCCACAGGCCAACCCATAGAACCACCCTGGAAATAAATGAGACAATGGAAGTAGAGCTATGGGAGCTTGGATGAGGGGTAGGAATGGGATCCATTATCTGAGGTTTATAAAAACCTCTGGGGGAGGAAATGGCTCTGGAAGGGGAAGGTGAATCTGTGGATTTGAAAAGGAAACTTTTCCTGCGTATCTTGTGTTTGGTCCAGTGGGTGTGAGAAGCACACAAGGAGTGGACAGTGGTGTAGGGGCCCTGGGAGTCTGAGACTTACCTTCCTCTCTGACCATCTGATCATCCCTGCAAAGGCCACCTGATGTGAAAAGGGGCCCAGGAGCAGGCACTCACTCAGGGAAGTCTGGGAGTTGACCACCAGGGGCTATGAGGAATGGCAGGAATATTTAGAGGACAGGAATAATTTTTTCAGGAAAGTGACACCTCTTCTTTTTTTTTCTGCCAAGTCTGGGCTCCTTCCAAGATGCTGTTAGCTATTCCTAGCCCCTTCCCCAATACTTCTCTGCCCCTACTTTTTGGAATCTATATCTAGGTTTAAAAATGGTTATAGATCCTGACATCTTTAATTAAGGGGACAAAGAATGGGATTCTTTTCAGGGGACATCCACAAGTACACACCTGTGGTCACTAAGGTGACCAACTCATCCCAGTTGGCCCAGGACTTCCCAAGTTTTAGCACTGAAAATCCCTTGTCTCGGCCCTATCAGTTTCCCAACAAACTGAGATTGTTGGCCTCTCAAGCAGCTACCCTGACCATCACCCAAAGTTCTATGTTAGTGACTGTTTACACCTCCCTGTCCCCCAGACGGAAGTCAAAACAGAGCAAAGGAAACCCAGTCCCCAGGGCCATGCTAGGGCCACCAAAACTGGAGTGAATTAGAACCTGTGAACTAGAACAGCAGGGAGTATGCTTAGAGCTCCTGGTCCTGGGTGTGGGGAAGAAAGGCCATCAAGGGAGATGTGGATGGGGAACAGCTTGAAAAAGGAGGCAAGGACAACCCAGTTTCTATCTGAAGGGTCTTCTGGTTGACCCAGGCTTCTATCCCCAAACACAGGTCTCAGAGGATTCTTTCTGTCCTCATGCACTGGGCAGAGGTTCCCTAACTTCCCCTGTTACATATTCCCCATCTCTCACAGCCTATGTGGTCAGAAAGCCCTTCCTCAACTCTGACTTCAGTTCTTGCTGTGGTTTCAGCCCATATCTTTTTTGTCACATCCTCTGCCTGACAGCTACGAAGTCAATTCTGGTCTGGCTTTTCTCCAAGCACAGCAATTGGAGGCTCTGGAAAGGATAAGGACCTCAGTGATCACCATTACACTTTACATATTTCCTGAGAAGTCAGAGTTGAAAGGGAAGCAGGAAAGCTCATGGTCAGTTTGAAGGAAGGAATTTTTAGTTCTTTTTTTTTTTTTTTTTTTTGAGATGGAGTCTCGCTCTGTTACCCAGGCACTGAAGTGCAGTGGCACAACCTTGGCTTGCTGCAGCCTCCACTTCCTGGGTTCAAGCGATTTTCCTGCCTCAGCCTCCCAAGTAGCTGAGACTACAGGCACATGCCACCACCCCCAGCTAACTTTTGTATTTTTAGTAGAGACGGGGTTTCACCATGTTGGCCAGGCTGGTCTCAAACTACTGACCTCAAGTGATCTGCCTGCCTCAGCCTCCCAAAAGTGCTGGGGTTACAGGTATGAGCCACCACACCTGGCCAGGAATTTTTAGTTCTTAGCTTTTGCAGGAGACTTCAAGGAAAGGAGATGTTCCTCTGTCCAGGAAAGGGGGAAGGTAACCGTTTCCGCATTCCTGGTTTCTCCTCTTGGCAGAGTGGGCATGAAATATCACTGTTCCTGCTCCCTCATTCCTGCTCCTCATGCTCAGGCTGCCTAGCTCATACTCAGCTTCCTCTGTGTGTCTAAAGTGGAACTGGGTAGTGGGCTGTGGGAAGATAGGAAAGAGATGGTACCAATCTCCTTGCCCAGATCTTAAATCCAGGCTCGGCAGGGTAACCACATGGGCAAGCACAAGGCAAGTGCCTGGGGAAAGGGGAAGTGATTGGCATAATGTGCGATACCAAAAAGACCATTTGTATTTTGGCTTCTACCAAAGAGAATGGAGAATTGGTTGACTTAAATGGAACCATTCCTTTAAGTAAGGAGAGAGGAGGGGGTGCTGGGAGATGGCCCTCTTCCCACAACCTAGATCATAGCTTGAACTGAAGCCAAGGACAGAGTTCTTCCCCCTTCAGCATTTACTGACATGCCTTCTTTAAATCACGATGTTATCTAACCCAAACCCAGACCCAGGACCTAGTCACAGCTCCAACCTACACTTCCTATTAATCTGAAACAAACAAACAAACAAACAAAAAAACTACATTATTAATGCAAAAAACAAAGATATCAGCACTTTAGCCTCTCAATCGGAGGCCCATTTTCCTTCTCTGGCTTCCTTACCTCCTCCTATATGATACAATTCACTACTTTGTTCAGTTCTCCAGTCTAGACCTGCATCTTGAGGCCACACCCAGCCTACTCACTCCCCGCACCCCTCTTTCGTCTCTCACTACCCCTTCCTGGTCTCTTCTCATCTGGCCCCACCTCTGAGGAGTACTCCTGCCTTCTGGGTTGCCCTGGAACACAGACTATCCCCGCTCCTAGTGAAGGGAGTAGGTGAGGGTTTCAGCCCCACCCTCAGGAAGATGCATCTTCCCCCTCCCCTGCTACGTAGTACTTCCTCTCTGGCTGACTTAGCTAACAGCACATAGACCTGGGGCCAGGCCCTTGGCATTGGGACTGATCCAGGGATAGGCTACACCAGCCTGCCCTGACCCTGGGATTGGCACCAGCTTCCAACCAGTACCTGCCAAAGCGTGTAAGTAAGTACCCTGGGAACGGCAGTGGTTGTGGTGGTGGTGGGATGGTGTGCAGCCATGAAAGAAGGTGCAAAGGAATCTCCAAAGAAAGTCTGACCAGTGTACAAAGTTGGGAGGCTTTGTCCTCATCACTTGTCCACTAACTCCTCTCCATCCCTGTTATTTCTGGTTGACCTTGGGCATCTCTGGGGACAGTAGGCAGGTGATTGGGAAAGTTAATGGGATTGAGGGACTCAGGGCTTGGCGGGGCAAAAAAGCTGGCCTTTCAAGGGGTGCAGCATTGGTAGGAAGTCTCTCAGTTTGGTTCTAGGCTTTAGGGTCTCCTAAGGGGAGGCGGCTGAAAAGGTCTGGAAATGCTGCTGCTGCTGCTGCTGCGGTCACTGTATATTTTGCAATTGGGTCTGTGGGCAGGAAGAGGCCCCACAACCCAGTTAGGAAACTAGTCTTTGTACTCAACTAGATCCCTTTAAGACATCAGTTGGCAGCGATGGGAGCAGTATATTTCAGAGGGACCTCTGATGCTGCTGACCCTGGAGACAGACCGGAGTTCTCAGGCTAGGTGTGTCCATGGCCTCAGGAAACCCTTGGTCCTCTACTCTTATGCGTGTGTCCGCACTCACTCTCCAGGTCCTCCCGACGGACATGAACACTACATCTTCTGCAGCACCCTCCTTGCTAGGTGTCAAGTTCATCTCTCTGCTGGCTATCATCCTACTGTCAGTGGCGCTGGCTGTGGGGCTTCCTGGCAACAGCTTTGTAGTGTGGAGCATCCTGAAAAGGATGCAGAAGCGCTCTGTCACTGCCCTCATGGTGCTGAACCTGGCCCTGGCCGACCTGGCCGTGTTGCTCACTGCTCCCTTTTTCCTTCACTTCCTGACCCAAGGCACCTGGAGTTTTGGACTGGCTGGTTGCCGCCTGTGCCACTATGTCTGCGGCGTCAGCATGTACGCCAGCGTCCTGCTAATCACAGCCATGAGTCTAGACCGCTCGCTGGCAGTAGCCCGCCCCTTTGTGTCCCAGAAGTTACGCACCAAGGCTTTGGCTCGGCTGGTGCTGGCAGGCATCTGGGTGGTGTCCTTTCTGCTGGCCACACCCGTCCTGGCGTACCGCAAAGTGGTCTTAAAATCGAACAACATGAGCCTGTTATGCTTCTCGAAGTACCCTACCGAAGGGCACCGGGCATTCCATCTAATCTTCGAGGCCCTCACGGGCTTCCTGCTGCCCTTCCTGGCTGTGGTGGCGAGCTATTCCGACATTGGGCGCCGGCTGCAGGCCCGGCGCTTCCGCCGCAGCCGCCGCACCGGCCGCCTGGTGGTGCTCATCATCCTGGCCTTCGCCGCCTTCTGGCTGCCCTACCACGTGGTGAACCTGGCCGAGGCAGGTCGCGCGCTGGCCGGCAAGGCTGCAGGGTCCGGGCCCCTGGGGCTGAAGCTGCAACTGGCCCGCAACGTGCTCATCGCGCTCGCCTTCCTGAGCAGCAGCGTGAACCCCTTGCTGTATGCATGTGCTGGGGGCAGCCTGCTGCGCTCGGCGGGCATGGGCTTCGTGGCCAAGATGCTGGAGGGCACGGGCTCCCAGGTGTCCAGCACCCGCCGCGGGGGCAGCGTGGGCCAGAGCGTGAAGAACGTCCCTGCCGCTCTGGAGCCCGGCCCTGCCGAGAGTCTTACTGCCACCTCCAGTCCTCTAGAGTCCAACGAACTGACCTAGGCCTCGTGGAAGGACACTCACTTTTCTCCTGGCAGAATGCCAGCTCTGAGCCAGTTCTGAGCCAGGAGCAGCAGGGGTGTGGAGGGCATTGGGGCGTGGGAGGCGGGGGGTGGAGTGGAAGAAGAGGGAGGGATGGAACAAGTGAGAGCAGAGTGAGAGAGTGCTCCAGCCTGGCTCCCACAGGCAGCTTTAACCATTAAAATTGAAGTCTGAAATTGGGTCAGCCTTGTGAGTGGGGTACATGTGCTGTGGGTATCGGGTTGCTTGTGGGCACCCTGGTGGGGCCCCTCTCAGTAGTTGAGAGTCATGTCCTTTGGTTCCCTGTGATTTATAATTTTGGAAGGGACACAAAGACAGACATAGACTGTCCCCAACCCAGGTGATTCCAAGTCCATAGTCTGCAGATCATACTTAGCAAAATATAGTCCACAGACTCCAAAAGCAGCTTGTCTAGGAAGACCACCCATGTAGTTTTATCACTCCAGGCCCTGTGACTCAGGGACATTTTGAGAAAATAGAACTGCTGTGAAACATCTTCCCTGAAGCCTGTGATAGGTATCCTTGTTAGCATGACTCTAACTTCCTGCCAATAATCTTTGTCCTCTCCATAGGAGATGTTCTAGGGGATTGCCTTCCTTCCCCCCATTTCACAAGGAAACCAGACTTGAGGACCAAGTCATTAGATCTCATCCTTTAGAATTCTGCACATCAGCATCTGCTAACCTCCACAACACACTCTGGCACAGGGTGGGGCTGAGGGCCCCAGGAAACAAAGATTCCCAAAAGTGAGAGGGATAAGTCATTATTTCCTAGAGATGACTGTTGTTGTAGAGAAACTTGGTCCAACTCTGTTCTGACAAGGTTTTAGGAAGATGGCAACAATAGTGGCAGCTGTGTACTTTTTGGCTCTTTCACATTAAAAAAAAACCAAAACAGCAAGTAGGAGAGTGAAGCCAAATATCCACATGCAACGTCCACAACAAATCTAGTATATTAAGATATCTCCCATGGACCCCAAAGTATGAGCCAGTGAGAATGAGCCATCGATACCTCAAGACCCATGTACCAGTATCTGTGCAGAAGGATGCAGAAGGAAGCAAAGGGATATCGGATGGACCTCTAAACTGTCCACAGGTCCTTACTGGAAAGCATGATGTACCAATCTGAGAACAGCAGCTGAAACTGGGAGGGACCTAACAGATTATTTCCCAGGCCTCTTGCCCATTCTGTATAGTGAGCACATAATAGGTACTTATTTAGTGTTTGTTGAATGAATAAAGTTCAAATGACATTTCCCTGGAGATTCCTCCAATATTTGTGAGTAGGGGGCAGGAAAGGGTAAATCTTTGTTTTGAGTCATGTGGCCAAATTATGCTTCCAAGGTGTACAAAATACTGGAAGAAGTTGACAGAGGGGCTGAGGGAGTTGTCTTTGTGAAAAAAAATCACTCCTTTCCAACATGCTCAGTCTCACATGCATGCATGTGTGCACACGCGCGCATGCGCGCGCACACACACACACACACACACACACACACACACACACACAATTTGGCCTGGGAAGAATACTTCCCGCTGAAGGGCAAAGAGAAGGTGATCCCCAGCTATATAAACAGCTTCTGACATCAATGGGCTCCAGACATCCCAGAGTCTTCTCTTTATTGAGGTTCTTAGAAGGGGAATGGGGTCTCAGCCTAGGGTGGCTGAAGGAGGTCCAGTTCGTGTCAAGTCTGTGTTCAGAAAGTAGGTGCAGAGCTGCCCTTTGCCTTTCACCTTGATGACACCCCGGCTGTAGCAGGTGTAGCCCAGGGACTGTAGGGCCCAGGCTGTCTCCTCAGTCACCTACAATTGGAGGGGGTGAGGGAATATGGAGGTGGCCCTATTCTTAGTCCCCCTCCCCCATGCCTCCAATGTGGTTTTCTCACTTGGATTTTGCCAAGGACTCCTGTGCTCTCCATGCGGCTGGCCACATTCACTGTGTTGCCCCAAATGTCATATTGCGGCTTCTGGGCTCCAATCACTCCAGCTACTACTGGCCCATGGTTCAACCCTGATAAGGGATGTGGTAATGACAAACTTGGAGAAGGAAGAGGGAAAGAGGAAGCACAAGAAACTGGAAGGAAGGGAGAAGGGCATGGGTGGTGGCCCTAGAGGAGAGGAGGTGTATCTAAGGCTGGAGAATGTAGCTTAAGAAAAAGAGTGGGAGAGCATTGTACCTCCTGGGCCAGTAGCTGCACACCCCATCCCAGGGCGTGAGTCAGGAAAGGGGTTTCAGGGATGAACTGGGAGCAGCTATCAAAGGACTTGGAGTGGGGCAAGCTCAGGAAGGTGAGGAGGTACCAGACTGCTGCAGCAGGGGAGGTCTCTCACCCACACGCAGGCGGAAGTTGTTGAATGAGTGCTTGTTGATGACATCCAGCTTAGACCCCAGGGCCACGGCAAACTCTACCATAGTGCCAAGGTGGCTGCAGCTCCGCTCAGCATCCTGGCAATGGGCCCCCCCCACCAGGGTGGGCCAGTGAGAGCACAAGAATAAGTCTCACTGTTGGGCCCATCAATGAGAGACCAGAGGAGGGTGGCAGGTAAGGAAGGGTCGCCATACCTGTTGTGCATCCGGTCCAGAGGTGGCATTTAAGCCTGTGGCTGCCATGTAGGTGCTGCCGATGGTTTTGATCTTCTCCACCCCACTGAACTTGGGCTTGGAGAGCAGCTGTATAGAGAGGAGGCCTGTCCCCAGTCTCTCTCGCTCTTTCCCTCCCCTCTCCCAGAAGCCCAGCCCCAAGCCTTTGGAGTTAAAGGATCAGGCTGTGGGAGTGGGGATGGTGTCAGGAAGGAGAGGGTTGGTGGTGGGCAATATTGCTGGAGTGGGTAGAGCTGGGGGATCAGAGGAGGCGAGTGGGTGCTGTGGAGGGGAGGATTGACCTCATGGCCAGAAAAGCAAAGTGGAAGGAAGGACTGGTGGGAAATTCTAGAATCTGGGGCATAGGGTCTGGGAGACTCTTGGAGTTGTCACCTCATCAAAATCAGCAATTATCTCGTTGAGCAGCCTCAGACACTCTAGGCCCTCATGATTGATGTCAGATTCAGAGTAGAACTCCTTGAAGTCCGGGACTGAGGCGAAGAGGACACAAACACATTCGTAGGACTGGTGGTAGAGATCCTGGGAGGGCAGGAGACTGGAGTAAGGGGTTCGTGTCATGTTCCTCCCCCTTCTGGGTTTGCGTGGGACCCTCCTCCCTGTGTCCACACTCCTGGTCTCCCTGTTGAAGAAGAATTGGGAAGGAGGGAGAGGAGTAGGGCCAGACTACCCCAGGGATGTTACTTAGGAATCAAAGCTTGGATCTCATTGTGATTCCAGAAGAGACAGAAGTTTGGGGTCAGGATCACCCCACAGCAACATGAAGGGAGTCACTTCTAGAACTGGGATCCTGTCAATGTGAATTATTGTTATATCCTATCTTATTGCTGAAAGGTGTTTAATTAAGCCGGCTACAAAACCAAAGGTAAAAAGTGTTTAAGTGTTTAAGTCACTTAAGATAGGTATAGAATGAAAGATAAAATAAGCAACAATAGGGACTATGGGGCAAAGAGAAAAGAAGGGTAAGATTATAAAGATGGAATCAGATCTGAGGGTGGTTCACAAAATGAGTGCCATGAAGTCCTTTTTAGTCCTAGATTTTGGCTCTCAGCTATCTAGCAGCCAAAGTGAAGAGAGAAAAGGATCGATTACAAGATTTCCTGTGTCTGTAAGAAGAAACAAGAAGGAGAACTACTCCTGATCTTGAAAGCAGGGAGCAGGTGGCAGGGGCATAAGGCTGTGAAAGAGCTCCGGAGATGTGTCTTTTAACACCCCTCAATATGAGCCAAGAGCATTTCCACAGCAGAGGGGCAGCAGGTGATGGTACGAGTAAGATGGCACAAATATGTGGGTGACTTCCTGATGGTTTGGCTATAGCAAGAGTTTTGAGGATCTAAAGCAGGAGCATCCAACAGAAATTTTTGCAATGGAAACGTTCTCTATCTGCAGTGTCCAATACAGGGGCCACTAGCTGCAGTGGCTGTTGAGCTCTGAAAATGTGGCTGGTGAAACTGAGGAACTGAATGTTTTATTTTAATTAATTAACATTAAATTATCATAAGGCTAATGGCTACCATATTGGATAGTGCAGGTCTAGAGAGAGGGGTGGACTGTATCCTCCAGACCAGTGGTCCCCAAACTTTTTGACCCAGATGGAATCAGATCTGAAGGTAATTCACAAAATAAGTGCCATGAAGCCTTTTTAGTCCTAGATTTTGGATGGGCTTCGTGGAAGACAAGTTTTCCACACATCTGGACAGTGGTGAGGGGATGGTTTTGGGATGAAATTGTTCTACTTCATCAGGCATTAGTTATAGGTTGGTGCAAAATTAATTGCTTTTTTTTTTTTTTTTGCCATTAAAAGTAATTAAAGCCAGGCGCATTGGCTTACTCCTGTAATCTCAGCATCTTGGGAAGCTAAGGTAGGTGGATCACCTGAGGTCAGGAGCTGGAGACCAGCCTGGCCAACATGGTGAAATCTTGTCTCTACTAAAAAATATATAAAAATTAGCAAGGCGTGGTGCCGGGCATCTGTAATCCCAACTACTCAGGAGGCTGAGGCAGAAGAATCGCTTGAACCCAGGAGGCGGAGGTTTCAGTGAGCCGAGATTGTACCATTTCATGCACTCCAGCCTGTGAGACACGAGTGAAACTCTGTCTCAAAAAAAAGTAATTATTTTTAATTATATTATTTTTAATGGCAAAAACTGCGATTAATTTTGCACCAACCTAATAGACTCCTATAAGGAGTGCACAGCCTAGATCCCTTGCATGTGCAATTCACAATGGGGTTTGAGTTCCTATGAGAATCTAATGCCGCTGCTGATCTGACAGGAGGCAGAGTTCAGGCAGTGCTGGCTCACCACTCACCTCCTGCTGTGTAGCCCAGTTCCCAACAGGCAATGGACCAGTACCAGTCTCCAACCTGGGGGCTGGGGATCCCTGCTCCAGACAGCTCCCATCAATACCTGACTAAGCTTCCAGAATGAATGGAGTGGTCATTAGTTAGAGAAGACATGCCTTCTAAGTAAGAATTTGAAATGCAGAAATTTTGTGCTCACCAAAGACAGAACCTAAGATCTTGTGAAAACAAAGTCGCTTGACAAGCACAAGGGCTTGGGTGTGGGGGGTCTAGAGGGGATGGGTCATAGGTCAAGACTTTCATCTGAAATGAGGCCCTATGGCATCCATGGCTCAGGAGTCAGGAGGTCAGGAGTCACCTCGTTGCGCCGGTTCTGGCCAATGAACTGGGGGGCCACGTGTGCAGGGAGCACATTCTCCAAGAGCAGCCGAGTCAGATTCTCCATCGTCTCTGTCTCCTCCCGCTCCTGCCTCAGCTTCTTCTTCCACAGGAAGTCCAGGCGGCAGTAGTACTCATTCTGGGGAGAGTTGCCAGGGGCCATGGGGAGACACAGAGCAGGGGAGGCCCAGCTCCTGCGTGTTAAGCCCCAACTCCTTGATGCCTGAAACCAGCCCCACCCTATCCCCAGTTTAGGGCTTAAGGTGCAAGTATCCTTGGAGAGAGACTATCCTTGAAACTAGATTCAGACTAGTGATACAGAAGTGGCAACGGACTTTTTCTTATGCATGGGCTTTCCCAGATTGGGGCATGGGAAAAAGGAGGAGTGGGGAGAGAAGGAGAAAGAAAGGGAGCAGGAAGACTTTCTTAGAATCTTCCAGCAGGCATTCAACACTGAAAATTAGAAAGACCAAGTCACAAATATGGGACCACTCATAGGTGTGCCCTGGAGGGCTGAGCTGGGTGACTTACCTGACGAGCCAGGACAAGGAGGGTGAAGAAGAAGATGAAGAAGGAGATAGCACCCATCAGTTTGGGCTCCTTCAGCACTCCTGGCCTGAGGGGGCCATGGATCAGGATTGCCCCTCGCTCTGCCCCTTCCTGGCCACCTCCCTGCCCCCAGTACCCATGTAGGCCTCCACTTCCCTCCCGCTTTGCCCAGTGGGTGATTCAGTTCAGTGAGGCCAAGACAGCTCTGCTGTGTCCCATCTCACCCCCATTCCAGGGGGCCCGGCACCTGTGTCCAGCAGCTGTGCACACCTGGAGTCCAAGGGGCCCAGATAGAGGCAGGCGATGAGGCAGTCAGACAGCCAGGCATGGGAGTGCAGGAAGAGGGAGCAGGAGGCCACCAGCCACAGCAGGAGCAGCAGCAGCTTCAGCTCGAAGCTCATGTGCAGAAAGAGGGAGCAGGAGAGGAAGCCCAGCACGCAGCAGTGCATGGAGTACTGTGGGGGCAGGCAGGGATCAGGAGTGGGCATGTCCCACAGGCAGTGTGGGGAACACCTGAGGGCTCCCTTCCTATCCCTCCCACGTTCAGGTCCTATCTGTGAGACCGGGAGTGTCATACACACAGATACACACTGGATGTGACTTGTGTCTGTTCTAATCCACAGAATGGAGTGTTCCTCCACTTAGGGGGCTGTGGGCTTGTGCTGAGGAAGGGTCTGCAGAAGGAGATTAAGGGCATGCGGGAACACTCACTGGGAGACTGATGAGAGGCAGAGACCCAGGGAGCTCCCAGGAGAGGTTGGAAGTCATGGAGGACACATTGAGAGCTTGGAAAGGGCAGTCTGATGATGCTGGGAAGAAGAACTGCAGAGGAGATGAGGAGCTGAAGAGGCTTGTGCTGGGTTTCAGCAGACCCAGGGATGAGTCATGGTCAGACTCACCCAAAGGGGTGGATCCTGCTATTTCTGGTTGGGAAGGGAACCTCAGCACTAGGGTCCTCACTGTGGGGAGGAGTTATGGGAGGGGTATCAAGAGTATTCGTCTGACATGGAGCCGCTATGTGGGCTCTTGCCAGCCACTTAGCCTCTCTGGGCCTTAGCTTCCTCTTCTGTAACTTGGCTGGTGGGTGATTCCCAGGTGCCCTCCAGGAATAGAATTCTAGGAATGAGTCTAAATCCTGAAAAAGCAGCCAAGTGAGCTAAGTAATAAATAACTGCCTACACAGAAAAAGATAAGGACATTCACCAGTGTTATGAACAAATGTTATGCCCACATGGTAGACTGCTGGTGACTATAATTTTTTTCTTTCTATTTATACAACATTGCCAGCATCCCCTGGGCTTAGTCCAGCTGCCTGCCCAAATCCAAGGGTTCCCTTTCAGTCCCTGGCAGGTCCAGTATGCCCTGATGATGGTGGATAGGGCCCCCTCTGTCCTCACCAGGCTGGTAATGGCCATGCCAAAGACAAGGAGGATGGTGGCGGTGCCCAAGGCTATTCTCAGTCCTGGTCGTGTGGCCACAAGGCCAGACAGTGCAGGCAGCCAGTGCAGCATCTTGGGGCCTTTCAGGACACACCTCTGTGGAGGGAGCATGACCATCTTAGCCATGGGGCTGGGGCACCCTCTTCAGGACAGGTTGTGACCAGGGCTCTGCCACGCCACTTCCACCCCTCAGCCCACCTCACCATCAGGTCCTCTGAGAAGCAGACAAAAAGGAGGAGGAGGAAGAGGAGGAAGGTGATGCTATAGGTGATGGCCAGAGCCGGGGGCCTAAAGGGAGACAAAAGCGAGGCCTTGAAGTGCCGGAACAGGCTCCCTGTGTGCTATGCAGGTGCTGTGTGAGCCGGGTGGGGGATGGGGGAAGTGGTTCTGGGGATCTGGGTTGGCTGGCGGTGGGGTCCTGGCTGTTAGAAGACATTGCATTCTGATGATCTGGGTTGGCTGGCTTAGGGGTCTAGAACAGTGTTAGGGGGAACAGGGACCCATATGGTGGGCAGTGGGGGCTCACAAGAATGGCTGAGGCTACTGCAGACTGATCTCTGGGCCTATAGGCCAAAGCTCTTTAACCTGGCTGCGTTTTCTTTTGTTTTGTTTTGAGATAGAGTCTCGCTCTGTTGCCCAGGCTGAAGTGCAGTGGCATGATCTCAGCTCACTGCAAATTCCGCTTCCCAAGTCCAGCGATTCTCCTGCCTCAGCTACCCGAGCAGCTGAGATTACAGGCACCCACCATCACCTCCGGCAAAATTTCATATTTTTAATAGAGACGGAGTTTCACCATGTTGGCCAGGCTGATATCAAACTCCTGACCTCAGGCGATCCACCCACTTCAGCCTCCCAAAGTACTGGGATTACAGGCATGGGCCACCACACCTGGCCACCTGGCTGAGTTAAGAACAAGTCCTTGTCCCTCCTAGCAGTGAACTAGGAATGAGGGACTACTTTCTAAGCTCACGCATTTGCTGCCAGATTTGGGTTTCTTAATGGAAACAAACCCGCTTTCATGGGGATGTTGTTGGCACCAAAAGAGACGTTCATGAGAAAATGCTTGTGCTGTGTAGAAAGTCCACAGGATGTACAAGGTTAAGATAAGGGCTGTGATTATCATTTTCCCCAGAACACACATTTCCTCTGCTAGTAAGAGCCTGAAGCTAAGGGGAAAGGGTGAAGGAAGAAAATGTGAGCAGGGGTCATGAGGGTAAGGGAATCAGCTTATGACAGCCGGGGCCTCCCTTGCCCAGGGCACTCTCACCTGTTTGTCACTAGCATCTGGATGATGAAGTTGGAGAGAAAAACCAGGAAGGTGCAGGCTTCATAGTATTTGAAGGCGGGGAGTGCAGAGAGTCGGTACTGAAAGTGAGGGGGCCGGAGGTGGAGACAGGGCCCAGTGCTGCCCATCACCTTGAAGACATCACTTCCAGGCAAGAGGTGGGCTCCTCAGCCTCACTGCCCAGCCTCCAGTTCAGTTCCACGTAGACCCTATCAGTTCTCTAAGGAGCTACCCTCCGTCCTCCCACTACCACCCAGTACTTCTGTCTACAGAGTGACTTTCCTTTAGAGAGAGGCACAAGCTCTTCACTCCTAGGATCACAAACTAAGCAGACCTGGGGAGGACACCCAAGGACTGACCCCTCCCCAGGGCTAAGGAACTAAAGTTGGGAAGTCCTTTGGTGCCGCCCACTCTGCAGCCTACCTCTTTCTCCATCTCCTTCTCTCTGAAGTACAGTGTCAGTGGGTTGAAGTCCTTTGACTGCTTCCACTGTCTGGTGGGAGGTGGGAGGGTGGGTGAGGGCACCAGAGAGCAGAGGGCAGGGTACGGCAGGAAGAGGGCAGAGTGAGAGCAAGACGGGGTGGTCAGGTGAGTCTTCCCTCAGGCCCTCACGGAGCACCATCCCTCCTCCACCGCCCTCCCAGGCCTCTTTGTTCTCCGTACTTCTGTGAGTTGAGCTGCTCAATGACCTGGAAGAACTTGGCATCCCCGGTGTCAAGTTCATCATCTAGTCCCCGGGGAGTACGGCTCCTGCACAGTGAGAGCCAAGCCCATCACCACAGAGACCCTCAGAGCATCTGGGCAAAGCAGGAGCAGCCCCCCAGGGTGGATGGAAGGGTCACCCAGACAGCCCCACTGGCAAAGACTCTCAGGACTCCTCACCGATCCAGGCTCCACTGGGGGCTGAAGGAAGCCAGGGCCTTCTCCTGTTGGGAGAGCACATGGAGGAGGTGGGCATGGTGGGTGTTTTCCCTGCAGTGAGGTACACCATGAGTCACACTGCATGCTCTATACATGTTGTTGACCTTGGGCATTTGACTGGGCTCTTTCTGCTCCCTCTAATGACCTCTCTCTCTCCCAAATCCCACCTGCCCTTGAAGGGGTGGTTTGAACCTCCTTAAAGTTTCCCCCTGACTCACTAGACTCCCAGGATCTTTTTTTTTTTTTTTTTTTTTTTGGTGAGATTGTGTCTTGCTCTGTCACCCAGGCTGGAGTGCAGTGACGCGATCTCGGCTCACTGCAACCTCTGCCTCCTGGGTTGAAGTGATTTTCCTGCCACAGCCTCCTAAGTAGCTGGGATTACAGGTGTGTGCCACCACACCCAGCTAATTTTTGTATTTTTAGTAGAGACAGGGTTTCACCATGTTAGTCAGGCTGGTCTCAAACTCCTGACCTCAGGTGATCTGCCTGCCTCAAACTCCCAAAGTGCTGGGGTTACAGGCATGAGCCACCATGCCTGGCCGACCCTTAGGATCTTTATACTCTTGATTTCCTCATAGTTTCTATCACTTCCTGGGCAACTCTGTCTTCTATAGGCTTGAGTCGCTGTAGACTCTGTGTCTCACTTTCCCTTAAGAGTGCACAAATTCCAAAGGCAAGGACTTTCCCATCACCCTTGGATGCCAAAAAAAAAAAGAAAAAAAAATCCCTGTTGGTTTAAATTGAAGTAGCAATGATAAACATTCTGACTCTTTTCTGACCTTTCCTGAGGTCAGCAAGGCTGAGCTGAGAGGTGTAGTGGCGGATAACAAAGTAGGAGAAGAAAGAAGAAGAAGGGAAGTAAACCCTATTACAGTCATTCTCTTCCTCGTCAAAAGGAATGCACAGTACAAGGAGCGATATGAAAATGAGGAGGCAAAGAAAGCAGCTGCTGAGAGGAAATGAAGCTTTGTGGGCACTGCCTAGTACAGGAAATATGGTGAGCATTTCTTCCTGCTCCCTGTGGTCCATGCAGAGGAAGCAGAGTCCCATGTCACATCATCCCTCAAACCAAAGCCTGGTGTATGGGAGAGAGAAAGGGAGAAGGAAAGATATTGAGAGGGAATGAAGATATTGAGAGGGAATGATATGTTCTAGGTGTGAGTCCATCCATGCACCTGTGTATGGGACTAACTTTTTTCAAACTACCTATCTGCCCCCTCCCAACACCTGTAAACTATTTGAAGGCAGGGAAACATCCTATTGATTTCTGTCTTTTCAAGAACTGGCCTAATGCCTGCCACACACTAGGTGTTCAGAAAATGTGGAAGGAATGAATGGATGAGCAAACACACACACTGCCCCACCACTCAAAGTTTCACATTGTTTAGGGGTAAGTCGATGGTGATTTTCAGGATGTCTTTTTTTTTTGAGATGGAGTTTTGCTCTGTTGCCCAGGGTAGAGTGATGTGGCATGATCTCAACTTACTGCAACCTCCACCTTCCAGGTTCAAGTGATTCTTCTGCCTCAGCCTCCCAAGTAGCTGGGATTACAGGCACATACCACCACGCCTGGCTAATTTTCGTATTTTTAGTAGAGATGGGATTTTACCATGTTGGCCAGGCTGATCTCAAACTACTGACCTCAAGCTATCCGTCTGCCTCAGCCTCCCAAAGTGCTGGGATTACAGGCGTGAACCTCCGTGCCTGGCAAGATTTCTAATATTTGACCCAGCCCCTGGAACTTCAGGGGCTAAGTGGATTTCTGTGCTAGTGAGGTCCTGCCTCCAGACACCCTTGAACAAGGGGTCTGGCTCTTCCACCCTGATACTCCGTAGCCTGCACACCAGTGGAAAGTGGCAGGAGGTCTAGCATGGGCCCTGGCAGGCATTCCCACCATGTAATTGCACCTAAGGTCATCTCACAGTCCCTGGGCTTATAGCAATCCCCACACACCACTCCACCCACGCTGGAGGCCTCATCCTGCAACAGTCAGCTGAGACTTGGCTTCTTCCTTCATCTTCCTCCTGCTGGCTTAACCCTCTGACCTCTCCCCTACCTCATGCTAACACTTGGGAATAAGTACTTCCTGCAATCACTGCTGCCAGTGTCCTTCCCCCACTCCCCAATGTTGGGGGGATTGAAGGAGAGAGCATGCAGTTTCAGGAATTGACTTAAACAGAGACATTTCCTGGTGCTATAGGTGCACAGCCCTAGAATCAGAGTCAGGAGGAAGTGGGGGTTCAACTGCCTTTGTGATGTCAGGGGAAGGCTCTCTCCTGAGTGGAGGCAGGGGAGTTATGGACATGGAGTCTGTGGGGATCTTGTATTTTCTCTGAGGGGAGCTGGAGGGCTCTTTCTCTGGAAGGAGGGTCAAGGAAGGGCCTGAACCAGTGACTGGGGTGACCAGACATTTCGGGATTTTGGGATGTCACAAATCATTAAGCAACTCACTTGTGGTGGGGGCAGGGAAGGCTGGGCTGGGGCCCGAGGATACTGGGGGTGAGTTTACCTAAGCTCTGGTGCTCAGGGTGAAGGTGTACATACCGGGAGAGGGGTGGAGGTGGACACCAGGCTCTCGACGTGGCTCAGGTGGGCAAAAGGCTTGGCTGCGCCCCAGGACTCCAGGTAGCGGGTCATCAGCACTGATGGACGCATCTTGGGGCCCTCGAGCGAAGACAGCAAGCCCCGTGCAGTGCCCTTCTCATCCTCCTCCTCTGCCTGGGGCACATGAGGGCTGAGAGTAAAGACCACAGACAGTTCCTCATTCTCCCTCCACCCCCACTAGGACCCAGGAACTCAATCTCTGGCACAGAAGAGATCAGGCCTGTTGGCTATGGGATGGTTTGTGTGGGCCAGCCTAGGGGGTCCAGGCTGGGCTTTTACCCGTGGATCGATGACCAGGTAGGTAGGCTCCCCTAGCTCCCGAAGGTAGGGGTCCCGATGTTCCATGCCTGCGTCCTCCACAGCATAAGCCCCTGCCAACAGGGCCAGGGTAGCCCCTGTGATGTGCACTCGCCTGGAAGGTGGGGGGCAGAAGGGGTTAGCAGGGAGGGCCTTTAAACCTCCTAGTCCCCATCCTGCCTCCTGGCTCCTAGAACTGACAAACATCTCATGTCTTTCAAAGATCATTCCTGGAGGTCTGACTTCAAGAAAGACCCTATGTTACAGGGCGTGCCTCCCAGCTCCCCTCCCTGCACCCTAGGGTCTCCCCGAGCCCCATATAGGACTCATCTTAAGGTACTCATCTTTGCTCATCTTAAGGAACTAATGAAAAGGGTGGCAGCCTGTGGTAGGCCTGGTTGGTTGCCTAGGGCCCCAGGTCTCACCCTGGTACACCGCCTGCCTCCATGTGGTTAGCCAGTGTGACATCATGGGACCAAACATCATACTGCCACTTCTGCAGCCCGATGACTCCGCAGAGTACGCTGCCTGAGTGCACACCCACACGCATGTTGATGTCCACGCCGGTGGCTGCCCGAAGTTTCCTGAGCAGTGTGTGTGGGACAATCTGAGTCCTACCCTCAGCCCTGCCTGTGCGGCACCCCTGCTTCTCACAAAGAGGACTTCTGCCAGCTGCCTGTTGCCTCCCACATCCACCGTCAGCATCCCTCCTGCCCACTGCCTGAGCTGACCTGATGGCCCGGCACATGTCCAGCCCCATGCGCACGCAGTTGATGGCATGGTCTGGCAGTGAGAGTGGCAGTCCAGAGACACAGTAGTAACAGTCCCCCAGGATCTTGATCCGCATACATTCATGCTCCTGGGAGTGTGTATGTGGGTGTGTAGAGGAACCTGGTTAGAGGCCAGAAGGGTAGGAGGGAGTTGGGAAAAGTGGGGAGTGTGGTATTCCTGAAGAACTTCCAAGGTGGGGTAGTGTCTAGGTCAGATCTAGGGACTCCTTTAGCTTGACATGGGGCTGACTGTCTTCCATGCAGATCTCTTTCTCAGAAGGGTTTTCTCAAGAGCTGGATGTCTGTGGCTCTTTCCACTTTTGGCATGTGAAGGGAGCACCCAGAGTTAAGCATATGGTACTGGTCTCGGGATTGAGAAGTTGGGGGGAATCCAAGAATTGGTTGCTTGGAGGCATCCCTGGGGTCTAAGCAGGTTGCTGGTCTGAGGTTGCATAGGGCAGAAATTTCTCTTAGAAGGGCCTCCTTAGGTTAGGATATCAGAACATCTCTATAGATTTGGTGATAGTGTCCAGAGACACATGTGCTGGGGCTCTGAGCATGTTTGAGGCATTGTAGTTGGGACGTCTGCAAAGATATTCAGAGATCTCTGTGGGTTTGAGGTGTGTGGTGAGCTGCTTCATGTTGGGAATATTTGAGAGGGTTTCCTCCTTCCCTTGGAATATCTGGGGGTCTACATGGGCTGAAGTGGGCATGGGATCTTATGAGGTGGGAGTTTTCCTTGGATTGGGCTACCCAGGATGGGATGTTTGAGGGTCCCTGGGTGGGGAAGGAAGCCCCCTCTGACCTTGGCAATCTGGTCGAACTTGCCAAAAAGCTCATTGAGCATGAGCACCAGCTCCTTAGGGGAACACTCGCTGGCCAGCCGTGTGAAGCCCACGATGTCAGCATACAGCACGCTACATAGGGCAGACTGTGTCAGTGGGGCCAGGGTCTTAGTCCACAGGCCCCTCCCCTCCAGTCATCCTTCCTCATACCTGACTCCCTGGTGCCTCTTGACATAGAGGCTGTGGAAATTGTTGGTGCTCTCTGGCCGTGACCCCTGTCCTGCCTGCAGCCGTGCCATGATCTCTGCCTTCATCTCTTGGGCCAGGTAGGCAGGAAGGATGGACAAAAGAAGGTGTTCCTGGAAGAGGTGACTATGAGTACCAACTCTTCTGCACCTTAAAGCCATGAGCCCCGTCCCCAAAATCACTCAGGGGCCCACACTGCCCTGCCCACCCCAGGTGCTCTCCAGGATGCTCTCCCAAGTCCTCCTGCTGCACACAGCAGGGCCCCAACACTCCATCCTACAACGATCACCTTCAGGGACTGTTCTCCACTTAATATAATGCTCTAAAGTGCTTTTTATAAGCTGTTGTTTGATTGAGCCTCACAACCTTCTAAGGTGGGCAATACCCACGTTTTATACAAAAGAGAAAACAGGTCAAGAAAACTGCCCAGAGTCACTCAACTTGTGAAGAAGCCCCATTATGTAATCTAAGCAACTCCTTTCTTGGAACACTGGTCTGGCCTTCCTAGGCCCGGCTGACCTGGTGTTTCTTCTCAGTGTCCAGCCTCCGTCGCGAGTGCAGGGAGCTGAGCGCCTCCCGGAACGTGGCCCGCAGGGCGCGCTCCATCAGCGCCTTATGGTACACTCCCAGCACGTTCCCGCACAGAAACAGCACGGCGTTTGCTGCCAACTGTGGGTGAGGGCCAGCCTCAGAGGACGCGGGCCCCAGGTGGTTGTCCTGTGTAGCTGGAGTTGGTCTCAAAGACTGGCTGGGGAAGACTGGACTCTACAGTGAGGGACCTAAGTATTGTTGGACGACTGGTGCCACGCTGTGGCATCCCGAGGGGCGTTTCCCTTCCCAGATACTCCCTGTTCCAGACTCTTGGCTGCTGCACTAACACGACCTCTTAGGTCTGGAAACCTTTGCAGGTACATTTCCTCTGCCTGGAATACCACTCCACTGTCAGTACCCACTCCTGTCGCACAAAACTTTTTTTTTTTTTTTTTTTTTTTTTTTTTCACATTCTCTGTGAAGGTTTCATTAACCACATCTATCGCCACCTGCCTGATCCCCCGGGCAAACCAAGACACGACTTCCTTCCCTGAGGCCTAGAACCCTCTTCCCGTAACAGCAGGCACTGTACCGCACTGGTGTACCAGTTCCACGAAAGCACGTTTGGGTCTGTGTATCCTTCGCCCAGCGTTGAGCCCTGCCTTGGAGTCACAGCTCAACCATCCCCCGAAAGGAGCCTACTAGCAAGTGGCAGAGCCGTCCTGAGAGCAGCCTGTGCTACTTGCGTGCTCACCTGCGGCAGCAGTGCAGGCCGTGAGTCCGGCTGTGGCCCAAGATACAGCCCGAGGACCAGCAGATGCGAGAGTGAGGAGGCGAGGCCCGCGACGGCGGCGTCTCGCATGCCCAAGGGCAGCATGGCATACACCGTGAAGATGACGAAGAGAAAATAGGACACCTGGGGGAGGGGCGCGGGAAGCTGAAGGTCCAAGTGGCGCTATTCAAGGCCCGGTGAGGGATCGAGGCCCGGGCTGTCCCCGCTGCCCGGCCTGCCGCCCCTCTCACCTGGTCCCAGGCGCTCACCACGCCCCCGGTGAACAGGAAGGCGTGGCCTAGCGCTAGCAGCGCGGCCCACACCAAGCCCGACAGGGGTCGCGTCCAGCGCTGCAGTCGGTGCTCGCGGGAAGCGAGGCCCAGCAGCAGCGAGAAGCCGCCCAGCGCGCACAGCACAGTGGTCAGGAAGGTCGGGTCTGAGGCCAGCTCCTGTGGGCAAGGGGTGTGCGAGGCAAGATTATGACAGGGAGAAGGAACGAAACTGGTAAAGGAAGAACTGGCAGCTCCGACCTCAGCCCGTTTCTGAAAGGTGTCTGGAGCCTAAGTAGGAAAAGGAGGCAAGACACTTCCACTTGCCATTCATTTTAGGTTGAACCATTTGAAATTGCTTGTGTCCTACTGTTTTTATCTAGACTCAGCAATCTTGTATGGTTTTTGTTGGTTGGTTGTTTTTTTTGAGACATCTCGCTCTGTCGCCCAGGCTGGAGTTTCGTGGCGGAATCTCGGCTCACTGCAACCTCTGCCTCCTGGGTTCACGCGATTCTTGTGCCTCAGCCTCCCGAGTAGCTGGGATTACCGGTTCCCGTCACCACGCCCGGCTAATTATTATTATTATTTTGTATTTTTAGTAGAGACAGGGTCTCGTCAAATTGCCCGGGCTGGTCTCGAACTCCTGGGCTCCAGCGATCTCCCGCCTCGGCCTCCAAAAGTGCTGGGATTCAGGCGTGAGCCAACGCACCCAGCCTCTTGCGGTCCCACCTATTATCTCGCTGAGCCTAGAACAGCTACCCAGAAGAACTGGCTCCCATCCCCTGTTTGTGAATCCATGACCTTTCAGAGCCTGGGTTTTTGTTTTGTTGTTGTTGTTGTTTTAAAATCAAACGGGAACCATGGCGTTGTGAAGCTAAGATAGATCCTAGCTCACAAGAAGCCACTTCGGAATGAGTGTCACCAAATCTGGCCAGTTTGCTCAGGACATGGCCGGCGCCCGGGCCGGTGGCTGGCAGCTTGGAGGGCGGCGGAGGCAGTGCTCGAGCAGCACAGGGCGCCAGGACCCGCAGCGTCCCGCACCTCCCTGGCCGCCAGGGCTGCGATCTTATCACTTGCCTCAACTCTTCGCAGAAGTCTCACCGTCGTCCCACAATTTTGTCCCCACCTCTTCTCGGATTTCGGCGTGGACCAGCAAGGATTGGCCACACCCGGTGATTTTCCCACCTTGCCTCCAAGGAATGAAAAGAAAACCCGGGGCAGGCTCTTTCTAGAATTGGATTGAAAACCCCGTTCCTCCCCAAACAAACTGGAATGGGTTTATTTTGGGACTCAGTGAGGGCCGGATTGGAGGGTGCCTTCTGGGAGTCTATGGGTACAACTGCCCCACATCCCCTAAGAGGGAGAGAAAGCCAGGAAATGAATTCCCCAGGGCATCCTAGAATTTCCCCTTTGGAAAACTGGAAAATCCGGCGATGGATTTATTGTGGAACCTGTAGACCACAGATGCTCCTAAAGTCTGTCGGAACAGGGACAGAAACGGGAAGCATCCAGGACTCAGCTTTGTTCCCGCGAAGACTCAGAAGAGTAGAGTGACTTGCCCAGGAACGCTGCAGTTCCTAGCCAGGCTCAACGGTCTTTTCTTTCTCGGCTCCCAGCAGCGAAAACATATAGAAAAGAAGACCCCACCAACCGCAACCCCGAAAATACCCCCAGGCAGCGACCCTCCCGCAGCGGAAACCCGGCTCACCCTGCCGCTGGCCCAGGCCACGGCGAGCAGCGCCGCGAGCGCGCAGAGCACGATCCCCAGCAGCAGCAGCAGCAGCGGGTACTGCTGGCTCAGGCTGTAGTAGGTCTCGTAGAAGAGGTCTTCGCTGGGGGGCGGCCGGGGGCTGAAGAGGCGGGCCATGATCTCTCCCGCCCCGAGCCCCGGGACTGGCAAGGGCCGGGCTCCGGGTTACCTCCTTTGGCCTGGCGGGCCCCACCCAGGTCTTTCTCACGAGCTCCAAGCCGCTATCACCCTGCGCCCCCAACCTTGCGGCAACTCCTTCTCCTTTTTCAGGCCCTCCTGTCGGCCTCCCAGCCTGTTCCCAGCTGGCGATGGGGGGACCCCTCAGTCCCTTCCTCCTCCCTCATACCCGGAGTGTGGAGGTGCCCTAGCAAAGCCTCATCGCCAGGGGGCAGGACTTGGGGTTGGTGCGAGGGAGCCCCGGGTTCCCCTGTCCCCCGAACTCACTGCCCGCGGCGCTGGCGCAGCGAAGTGAGCTGGGCCGGGGGAGAGAGCCAGGGCCCTGGTGGCGGAGTCATGCTCGCCGCTGCGCTCTGGCTCGGAGTCCCCGGGCGACAGGAGCTTCCCTCCCGGCGCCGCGGGCCCCCTCCCACTTCCCCGACAGGACAGCCCGTCCCCTTCCTGTGCAGAAGCCAGACTCCCCTGGTATCCTCCCCGACTTGGTTTCGTCTCTCTTAACACCATCGCCTCCCCTCTTCAGACCCTTCAGGGAAGGCGATGTGGACCCTGGGAGAGATGCGAAGGGATGGGCTGGGGTGGACCGAATGGGATGTGTCCGAATAGGGGTGAACGTTTGGAAGTGGGGAGTCTGAGGGGGGTTGAAGTCTGGTGAGAATGTAGGGAAGAGTGTGGGTCGCGATGGGGATCTAGGTCAGAGTTGGGGGCGCTAATTCCCCACCCCTCTCCGACTGGCTGGCAACCACTGCCACCAGGTTTGAACTGTTCATGCTCCGTCGGAGGGGATGCTCTGTGTGTAACTTTAGGAGCCATAGCTTTCCACTCCTGAACAGCAGCTGGGAATCAAAAGGGAAGCAATGTCTAGGAAGCAACCTGAGTGTGTTTTGGAGGCAGGTATGGGGCATCATGACCTCCAAGAGCCTGGGGGCACCGTGCAGGGCCTGGTCTGCTATGTTTCACAAAGACACATCCCTCCCGGTGGCCCCACAACCGAGTCTTGAAAGCTCAGAAGAGAAGGGACCACAGCTTCTATCCCCAGAGTTTAGGGTTAGGGTGGGGTTACCATCCTAGGCTCTAGAGGAAGGAAGCACCACCCTGAGATTAGAGTGGTCTGGGGAACCAGGCCTCTGGGATTCATTCCTTCCTGTTGTAGAGAGGCTGGGCCCTGACCTTGTGTGCCAGGCTGTTGCCCACTCCCAGCCCCCAGCATCCCCACTTCCTGCCTTAGCAGAGCTGTGGTGCCTCCTTCTCCCTCACTGGCAGCCCCCACCCCCATCCCAGTCCCACCCTGCCCCTGGCTGAGCTCAGACTTTGCCTAGCATTCCATCATGTTTATTGACTCCTGGGGGACAGATCACAAAGTCAGCTTGTGGGCAGGCCAGACTGCCCTGAAAGGAAGTCAGGGGCCTCACCGGGTGGTGCTCTTCCTTAACTCTTAACTCTTGGAGGCAGGCTCAGAAGGTGCTTGATTTCCCACTATGATTATACCCACTCTGTGGCTTACTCCAGGCTTCAGGTTCTTTAGGGCCTTCTTGCAAACCTACTGGTGGGGGGTGCTGCCAGCCTCTGCCCAGGCCCAAAGGTGCCAGACCCTGGGTGGGCAAGGCAGTTGTCCGTGAAGCATGAGTGGTGAGAAACAAACCTTTGGAACACCAAACTGAGGAAGGAAATGGCTTTTTGTTTGGCCCGGAGCTGCAGCGGGCTACAGCCTCATTCACCACCAAGCTCCCCAGAAGCAGCTTCTCTCCCCTTTTAGAGGCTTACAATACTAAAGGGAGAAACTGAGGTGAAACTATGTCAATGTCCATTTGCTGGACATCCGACCTTACAATCCTTTGGCTTCACTGATTTGCTAATTCATATGCAGTGGGAGTGGGAACAGGCAGTGGAGAGGGCTTACAGAGACTGGACAAAGGCAGTAAACTATTTGTTGGCAGAGGTGTTTCCAGGAGGGAGCCCACCGTGCAGTTGTGGGGGCTGACCCAATGCCAGGCTCCAGCTGGTAGGGATAACATTCATTTGCAACTCTTTCAAGGCTTACAGATAGCAGAGACACTCGGAACTGAAAAGGTTCTTCCCAGTTCTTTGGTATTTTATTTTATTTTAGAGATGGGGTTTCCCCATGGCTGGTCTCGAACTCATGACCTCAGGTGATTCACCCACCTAGGCCTCCCAAAGTGCTGGGATTACAGGCATGAGCCACTGTGACCAGTCTATTTTATTTTTTTCACCCTCCTTCCCATCCGGTGGGGAGGAGGAGGTGGCGGCTGGGAAGTGGGAGGAGAGGAGGGGGTTTCCCTTCTCATCGGTAACATAGTCAAGCAGTTGTTGTTTCCAATTTGCACCCCAGAGCAGTCGTGTAAGGTAATAGATGGTGTCCCTTTAAGAGAAAAAGTGATGGTGGCAGGAGGGTTTAGCTCTCAGAAAGGCAAAGTTGAGGGTAGGTGGGGAGTATGAGGTCTCCACTTGTCAATGGATTCTGTCAAGGTGTGCCCTGTGCCCTCCCCTTCAGAGTTCCTCTCCAGAATTGGGTTAGCAGAAGCTCTAGAGAGTGGCGATGGACATTTGAGACCCCGATCTTTTTTGCTGGGAGGTCCGCTGGACTGCTGAAACAACTATGGAACTTAGGGACAACACACAGAGCTGGTGTTGTGGAAAGTTAGAAAACTCAGGGATAAATCCAAGCTTTATTGTGAGACCTCAGAGCATTTCTTTCTTAGGGGATGTCAGTTTTCCCATTTATGAAATGAGAAGGTTGAGTTAGATCGTCTTCTCTCTTCCCCTCCACAAGGTACCCTGAATCTAGATATAGGTCTGGAGGAAGAGTCTGGTGGAATAATTGAACAGGGGAAAAAAAGAGGTAGAGAGTGGGTACCTGTTACTGGATTTGGCTCTGGGTTCCTGGAGGACCAGTTCATGCCATGTCTCTCAGCCCCCTGCAAACAGCACAGAGCATTCAGTTCTGTCCCAGAGTCCGATGCTCCCACTGCACTCCTCTCAGCTCCAAGTTTTCCCTGGCAAGGGGACAGGATTTATAGGAGTTCTAGTGTATTCCCTAATCCTGCCAATGTCTCACCTGATTCCTTTGGGGTCCAGGACCTGGTGTTCCAGTTGAGGTGGGGCTGGGCGTCTGGTTTCTGAAAGTTGAGGTCTCTGGAGTCTGGGGAGGTTGAGCCATTGAATCTGAAGATGTCCCTGCTGTCCTAGCTTGCGGAATCTGCTCCTCTTGTGCCCTGCTCTTCTTGGTAAGGCTCGGGTAATTTTCAGGAACACAGCTGGAAGACTCCTCTAGATTCAGTTCCTTTAGCAGGTCAGAATCTATGAAATCATCATAACAGTGCTGCCTTCCTGTGGTTCTCCCAAAGCCATCCATTTCTGTCTTTCCTTGGCCTGACCTATTGCTGCTCCTGAGCTCAGACAGGAAATTCTTTACCTGCAGGGATGGAGGAGTTTGCTGGGTATGATTTGGATGAGTCAGAGTAAACCCAAGGGAGTAGTCTCTTGGTCCATAATCTGTTGTCTGGGAACTCAGGGGTGGGCTGGGGAGGGTGGGGACAAAGTTCAAGGCATAAAAAGTGGTAAGTCATTGGATGGCTAGGTAGTCATGTTGTGCTATCCCTGACCAGCTCCTGGGGAGGGATGATATTGGGAGCTCACTGTGGAGACAGCAGCATTCACATTGTTCTTCACCAGCTGGAAGGCTTCATCAGTTTTTGGTAGGCATTCTAGAGGGACAGCAGAGTGGGTTGCAGGTGAGCAAATCTTCTCCTGAGAAGAGCCCCCTGCTGACAGACCCAAGCTTACCCCAGATCCAGCTAACTGGCCAGCTCACCCTGGAAGGAGGGTCTGTCCTTGGGCTCATTGCTCCAGCAGAGCTGCATTAACTCCTTCAGTCCTTCCAAGCCGGGAGTCTCAAGCCCGGCTTGGGGCAGCTCGTTCAGTGAGGGCCGGCCCTCCCTCTTGCACACTGCTCCATACACCAGTGATGCTTCAGTCGGCCCTGGAGTAGGGGAGGTGGGTGAGAAGAGAAGGCATTCAGGGTAAAAGGGAATATCTGTCCATCATGGAAAGAGGCAGGGAGTGTAATGTGGGGGCACTAGGAGGGAGGAGGGCAGTCTAAGTAGATGAGCAGGAAGGGGAAGCCTTGGGGCTTTCAGAAGGGCACCTGGGGTTAAGGATCCCAGAATCCGCCTAGAGTCTTACACTCAGCTTCTCTTCCAGCAAGCACTGCCCACATCAGGATCCCAAAGCTGCAGGAGACACAAAGCTGAGGACAGGTCCAATCACTGGCAAGACTCCCTTCCTATACTCCATCCCCTAGGAGAGCCAAGAGAGGTGTAGGAATCCTGGCTGTGTGTTTGGGGTGGAATCCTTACCTGTAGACATCACTGGCTGGGGAGGCCTTCCGGTTTACATTAACAAACAGTTCTGGGGCCAAGTAGTTCAGGGTGCCCCCTGGCTCCCTGGACCCTGTCCCTGACTGTGAGCTTCCCTGAAATGTGGACAGGCCAAAATCTGCCAGCTGCAAATGAAGGGAAGAGGGGGGAAGTAGGGAAGACAAGGGGGCCAGGCAGCCTCCAGAATCCTCCCTACCCCCAGATGGTGCAGGTTCAGCTTTGTAAAGGGAGTGTGAAGGTCAAGGGAAGGTGTTCCCTTGGATGGTAGATCTAGGTGCCCTGTGGTAGGGCTGTGTAAAAGTCTGAGTCTCCAGGGCCCGGTGGGACAGCTGGTGGAAATGACTCGTGTGGGTCAGGGCCTCTATCACCTGGTATGGCAGGAGCTAAAACTCCGGCTGGGCTTTGTCCCCTGACAGCTCGGAGTCCAGAGGGAGAGGCTGTGCCTATTCAATAGACAGGGCTCTGCAGGTCTAGTGTCCGGTGGGCCTGGCTGGAGCAGCTCTGGGATGGGGCCTTGTCCTGAGGCTGAGAGGGGTGTAAACCGGCTAACCTTGACGTGCAGCTCTGGGTCCAGCAGGATGTTGGATGGCTTGAGGTCCCGGTGCAGGAGCACCGGGTTCTGCTCATGCAGGTAACACATCCCGAGCACCACTTCTTTCAGCAGGCGGCAAAGGAGTGGCCAGGGCCGAGGGCACTGGGGCTTCAGCAGCCCCGACAGGGAGCCGTTCTCCATGAATTCAGTCACCAGAGCCGGCCTGAAATCATCGTCCCACCCCACCTTCTCGATGACCCCTTTCAGGCGCAGCACGAATTCGTTATCCAGACTTGCCATGGCCTTGACCTCCCTGGATATCGCCTTCCTACACTCCAGGAGAGAGCTGGAGTCGCACCGGGGTCCCGGGAGAATCCCTCCCTTCCCCATTCAGGTCCCAGAGCACCGCGGCTCCACCTTTTTGCCCAGACCTTGGCCGGCGGGCAACCCGGGTCACTCACGAGTTCACGATCTTGACCGCCACATCGCAGTCCCACTTCCTGTGATGCGCCCGGAACACGGTGCCGAACCCGCCTGAGCCGACGAGCCTGTGGTTCTCCAATTCCTCGTCTAACACCAAGGAGGCGGAAGCACCGTTCAACCTGAGAGAGGGGTGTCGCCCTCTAGCCGGCCGCGCCGCGCGTCCGCGCTGCTCCCCACGCCCCCGTGGCTCGGCGTGCCCACTGCAATCCCCAGCCTCCCTCGCCCCCCCGCAGTCCCCGGACGCAAAGGCGTTCTCTGAGCGAGTCGCGGGCCGCTCTGGGGGTGAGTGTCGGAGGCTGAGATCCACACACCACTCCCTACTCACCATAACTTGACGTGAGACATCAGGCTGGAAGGTACGAGGGGGCCGCTGGAAATTGCCAGCTGCAGGAGATGGAGTGACTTCCGGGGCTGCGGTCTTTGGTAGAGAGGGGAAAGGGTCTGCCTAGACCAAGACTGTGGTTCCACTTTCCGGGTTGCTACCCCTATTCCGAGTTGACTGAACAACTTCCCTTTCAGGCGCCTCTACAGTCCCGCCCCTGGGGTGGGGCAGGGGGCAGAGCGAAAGCTAGTGCTTTTCTCTCTGACTAGAGTTTCTTGGGCGCCTGCTGCGTGCCGCGGCCAGGTTGGGTGTAGCTGGGCATTGAGGATGTTAGGGAAGGAGTCCTCACCTTCCGGGAATCCACAATCGACCCGCTCCTACAGCCAACGCCTTCCCTTTTCCCACGGGATTTCCTGCTCCACCACCTGCCAGGCCGTGAGTGGGCATGGTGCTTAGGAGGGTTTTATGGTTCTGGGGCTCAGCTCTCTCACATCTGCCCTAAGATTATAGCCAACTTACTACGACCAGGTACATATATTAGCTTATTTAATTCTCGCGTGAACCCTAAGGGGACAGATACTGCTTTTATTACCTTTTTATGAATGAGGAAACTGAGACACTGAGAGTTTAAGTACCTTGCCTAAGCCCATATGGAAATAATGGCTCTGAAGCATCAAATTTTCCTATTTTCACATAGACTTCAGGGCTGTACCACTCAGCTGCTCGTGCAGGTGGTTGGGGAAGGTGTGAAGCATCCAACGATGTAGTGAAGAACCCCTATCTGTATTCCGGCCCAGTCCCTATTGCTGCTCTTGAGAGGCAAGTCCTTGGCATTGATAGGGTCTTATATGCCCTATGAACAGGAGCTCCTGGAGCTGGCAGGCCCTAAAACTACTCCCAGGGCATTGTGGTAAGGCTAGATATATCAGCCCAGCCAGAAGGTTGCTGACATTGTGGTGTACACTGCAGTGGAAACACCTCAGAGCTTTCCTGCCGTCTCTCTTGCATGACAGCTCTTGCATGCAAATACCCTAATTAATATTCCTGACAAGCACATGCTCTGGACACAGGCCTTTGATAACCCGGGAGCATGCAGAGTCTTAAAGATTTAGGGCAGAAAAAATGTGTCCATATTTTACCTTTCTAAGGTCTGACCATGACTAGGGGTTGTGGGAACAAGCTAGGGTCAGCCCTAGGCACTCAGTCCTTTACAGGAGGACTCAATCCTGTGGGTTGTGTGTTGGCTCTCACTAAAAGGTGCTCACCTTGGTACTTGCTTTCCATTTTGTCCAGTGGTCCATGGGCTGGTTGTGGCAGAAGTGACTAGCAGTTTTTTCTAGAACAACTCCTGGAGGGCCATGTCATAGCTTCTGGTAGGGTCAGCTCATGCTATTTTGGAGGTATGTAGGGAATTGTTCAACCGTAGTCTCCTTAAAAGCCAATAAATGGCAGGTACCCAATAAATATTTGTTGAATTGAATGAATAAATGAACAATAAAAAATACTGAGCCTTCCTTCAGGCACTGATCATCCTAGATGAAGCTCCATACTCATTAGGAGGAAAGAGGAGATTGAGTTCCTGTAGGGATTGAGGGCTCTCACCTGCACAGTTCATGAAATTCATCTGAAGTAGGCTTTAGTATAGAGATACAGTGGTATCACACAGAATCTAAGAAGGCAAGAAGTGTAGCAGGTCCTCAGAAAAGCCTAGTCAGAAGCTGAGAGTCATGGGAAGGGGCAGCTACCCGCTTTGTGATTCTCTTTAGAGAGAATAACCTGGGCTCAATATCTCCACTTGAAGGGAGCAGGCAGAAGGAGTTGGAAAAGTGTCATAACTGGGCTTCTTCAGATTGGGACAAGACCCTGAGAATCAGGGATAAACCACTGTGAAGCACAGGGTTGGGTGTGGTATCAGGGCCTATACTACTTTTTGACTCAAAATAAACAACCCCTTTAAAAGAAGGAAGAGCAGGGAGAAGAACCTTAGATTAAGTGCCTGACAGGACCCTCGGCCTCCAGCAAGGCGGCGTGGGGGTGGGCCTAGGCAGAGGCTCATTCCTGGATTTTGGAGCTCTGGTCTTTTCTGAGGACTTCTGTCTCTGACCACAGATGTCCCAGGCTTTTGAAGTCTACTTGGGTATTTTTTTAAAAATTTAATTAGTATTTTGTGTTTGCGACAGAGTCTCACTCTGTTGCCCAGGCCGGAATGCAGTCATGTGATATTGGCTCACTGCAACCTCTGCCTCCCAGGTTCAAGCGATTCTTCTGCCTCAGCCTCCCGAGTAACTGGGACTACAGGCATGCACCACCTTGCCCGGCTAATTTTTGTATTTTTAGTAGAGATAGGGTTTCACTATGTTGGTCAGGATGGTCTTCAACTCCTGAACTCGTGATCTATCCACCTTAGCCTCCCAAAGTGCTGGGATTACAGGTGTGAGCCACTGCACTGGGCCTTACTTGGGTATTTCTTATTCCTTTAGTTCCCTGCTCCTGATTCTCCGATTACATTCCGTTCATCTCTGGTTCCCTATCCCTGATTGTTGTAGGGGTAGGGGATTGTAGGGGATCTATGTGGTCTCTCTTTGTATATTCTAGTCTTAATTCCCATCTGTTGTTTAAGAGATTCTAATTGTAGACCAAAAAGTATTAATTGAGGAGAGAATTTTCATTGTTTTTTAGCGTTTAATTTTTTTTACAATGGGCATGTATTAATTTTATAAACAGTTATACAGAAAATAAATTCATGATGCATGCAAAGATTTAGTTATAAGGATATTCACTGACATGTATTGCTTATAATAGTGAAATAAATAGAACTCTAAATATTCAACAATAAAAAGTGATTGAATACATATGCAATGGACAACTATGAAGCCATTAAAATTATGCTGCAGATCTATACTTATTAATATGAAGGTGCTTATCATATATTAATTGGGGAAGAAAGCAAGTTATAAAACGATATAATCACCTTTTTGTTTATTTTAAAAATAATTTTCCAGTTGTAGAACAGATTTGATATTCTTCAGAACCTCCTATAGCAGAACAACTAAATGCTACAGAAAGTGCAACATACATATATATTTAAATTCATTAGTGACCTCCCAAGAAGGTAAAGGTAATTCCCTCAAGGGCATACCTCTAAAACCAGCAAAATAAAATAATACAAAACAAAAAAGTAAACAGTAAGTAAACAGAGAGGTTAACTAGAAACCTAGAGCTTTGGGATTTGTGTATAGGTACGGGAGTTGGGGGAGAACTCAGGACTAAGCCCTGGGACCCAGGAAGATGGGAGAGATGAATCTGAAACACTCCTATTCCCTATAAAGCTGGGACCCTGAAAGTGGCTACATTCTTAGTGGAAAGGGAAAAGTCCACTGCTCATAAAGGGAACCTACAAGGAAATCCACCTAGGATACAGCACTAGATATTAAAATTAATAAAAATGTTAGTTTCCATGTGAGACTACTCTCACATTGACCTGTGGTTGGAATTTTTACTTTCCCTTAGATCAAGTAAACCATAAACTGAAAAATTTAAGTGGCTCCAGATCATTAATGCTCCCCAGAGTCCAGCAGTAGCAAATCAAATCCTCCTTGGAGGAAAGCATCCTCGATCCAGGCTTCTGCATTAAATTCTGCCAAATATAAACTCACAAAAAAATTACTAAATACATAAGCCTTCAAACTATCATGAAGGAGAAAATCAGCAGAAACAATAATCAACAGGTTTAAACTTTTAAGGACTTCAGAGTTTGGAATAATCAGATAAAGAATCTAAAGAAGCTATTGTAAAATGTTTAAAGAAATAAAAAAAATAGAGTAGAAAAATAAAAGAGCAAGGAATAAGAGATCATAAACAATGTTCAGACATATTTACAAAAAATAGAACACCAAGAAATAAAAAATGTATGTAACAATTAAAATGGAACCATAATTTTGGTTAAACAGAAGATACAGCCGATGAAAGAATTAGTGTGCTGAAAGGTGGATCTGAAGAATTTCTCCAGAATGCAACAGAGTCAAGCAAATAAAAAAGTTAAGAGACAAAGAAGGAGGAGGTCTAACATGTGAAATTGGAATCCCATTAGAAGAGAAGTGAAAAAAAAAATGGGGGCAAGGCAATATTTAAAGAGAAAATGGCTGACAATTTTCAAGAACTGATGAGAGACAGGGATCCATCTGGGCACAGTGGCTCACACCTGTATTCCCAGTGCTCTGGGAGGCCAAGGTGGGAGGATCACTTGAGGACAGGAGTTCAAGACCAGTTTGAACAACATAGTGAGACTCTGTCTCTATAACATAAAAATTAAGATAAAAGATTGCCAGGTGTGGTAATCTTAGCTACTTGGGAGGCTGAGCCGGGAGGATTGCTTGAGCCCAGGAGTTGGAGGTTATGGTAAGTTATAATTGCACCATTGCACTGCAGCCTGGGCTACAGAGCAAGATCCTGTTTCTAAATAAATAAATAAAAATAAAAAGACAAGGTCGGGTGCAGTGGCTCACGCCTGTAATCCCAGCACTTTGGGAGGTCGAGGTGGGTGGATCATGAGGTCAGGAGTTCGAGACCAGCCTGACCAACATGGTGAAACCCCGTGTTTACTAAAAGTACAAAAATTAGCGGGGTGTGGTGGTGTATGCCTGTAATCCCAGCTACTCAGGAGGCTGGCAGGAGAACTGTTTGAACTGGAGAGATGGAGGTTGCAGTGAGCTGAGATTGCACCACTGCACTCCAGCCTTGGTGACAGAGTGAGACTCCATCTCAAAAAAAAAAAAAAAAAAAAAAGACAAATATACACTAATATAGGAAGCACAATTTGTGGCAAGAAGGATAAATATTAAGAAATTCACTCTAGTTACACCTCAGTGAAACTGCAGAACAGTAAACACAAACAATATCAAAGATGAAAAAGAAAGCATAGATCATCTAAAAAGAAGCAGTAACTAAACTGAAAGTACACTTCTCAATAGCCAAGTAAAAACCAGAAGACATTGAAACAATTGAAGGTGCTCACAGACAGGAAAACTGTTCCTGAAAAAATAACTTTGGTGGGCATACAATTTCATGTTGACAGATAGGTTAAAAAAAAGAAAAAAAGACATTTTCAAATAAATGAAAACTGAGTTTACCACCAACAAACTGTTTCCTAAAGAAGTTTCTAATGAATGTGCACAAGGAGGATATTAAAAAAAAATTATCCCAGAAGAAACGTGTGAGATGCAGGAAGAAATAGCCATTCCCAGTAAGATTAACCATGAAACTAATTAGCATCATGTCAGACCCTTAGAAATGACAGAGGGTGCCGGGCG